ATTCCCAAAAGTTATGATAGAATGATAAAAAAACAATAAAAAAAATTCTGAACTTTTTCAAAGAGCGTTTTTCATTGAGATTCAGAATGAGTTGAAAAAAGTGGAAATGACAAATATCTGGTTCGTTCTGGCAAATTATCTATTGGCTGTCATTTTCCATGGTGGATGACGAAACACTAACNTCAATTGAGTGGTACATCATGTAGAAATTCCCAAAAGTTATGATAGAATGATAAAAAAACAATAGAAAAAATTCTGAACTTTTTCAAAGAGCGTTTTTCATTGAGATTCAGAATGAGTTGAAAAAAGTGGAAATGACAAATATCTGGTTCGTTCTGGCAAATTATCTATTGGCTGTCATTTTCCATGGTGGATGACGAAACACTAACCCTCGTGGGAAGTGACAGCTAGGTATCTCAATTTTCAAAACAGTGGTATGCAGTCATCTGCCATTTTTATGTGATAAAAGTGTGATTAAAAAATTCACCAAAATATTAAAACTTTTTTCAAAGAGCCTTTTCCGTAATAAATGTCTCTGTGCAGTGTGGGAGAGGCCGCCATTTGTCACGGTAAATCAGATACATTTGTCAATTTCTTGTTATTCAACTTATTCTGAATATAAATTCAGTAGTGAAGCGGTAAACCGAGTTAAGTCGATTCTGACTATTAGCCAGTTTTTGCTGAATATCTCGGAATCTAAGAGAGATAGGAAAATTTTTCTCATAACTTTTTTTATAACGCTCTATTGGCTCTACAAAAAAGGTAATGACAAAAATCTTTCTATCTCTTCTAGATTCCGAGATATTCGTCAAAAACTAGCCAATAGTAAAAATCGACTTGACCCGGTTTACCGCTTCGCTACTGAATTAAAAATGCTCTTTGAAAAAATTAAGAATTTTTTCAACTTTTTTTTGATTATTCATTCATAATTTGTCAAAATGTCCGCATAATGCAGGACTGAATTGACAATTTCAGACGACGAAAGATGAAAAAAAAATACCGAGATAACGTTCGAAAGATAGTACACCCGGGCCTCAAATTGAATTTTCCGCCGGCGAATATTCTGCTGGTGTCATACCCCAATGTGCGAATATCAGTGAAATAAGTCCTTCAAATTTGAAGAGTAATCATGCACCAGTGACCTTGGCTCTCCCGCCATCTCCGGAATGAATTTCACCGTGAATGACCGTCCCCTTGAAATCCAAATAGAATAATAACCCGGCGGCTCTTATCTAGGACAAACTCCGTTAGGATTTCGATGCTCTCTTTTTGACTCGTTAAACCACACCCCAGCAAGATGTACGGGCTGACGCATCTCCTGTCGCAACACAGTTCGAGCTCGAGCAGTGATTCAAAGTCAAGTCAGGACAAGGTGTCGCCTGTGAGCGATGTGAGGCGACAGAGCTATCAGCAGGAGAACTCCAAGATTCTGAGCGATCTCCTGAGCCATCCGGAGAGGCCCGCGATCGACGGAAAAATCGGTCATCACCGTCACGTGTCACGGGGGTCAGTCAGCTCGACGTATTCCTGCGGCTCTACGACCTCCTACGGCTCAAGCCACGGCTCGACCTCCTCGAATTACGTGAACCCCCAGTATCCGAGCCACTCGGTGTATCACACTATTCACGGAACTTATGGCCAGCATCAGTTTCCGCATCATGGCCACAGGCACCACCGACATGTCCATCGGCACTCGGAGAGCAGTGCGGACTCGCCGGCCTCCCTCAGCCCCACTGGCGAAATTGAGAAGCACCATCATCACCACAGCATTCAGGAGATGATTCGACACTTCGGAAGGAGGCTGGGCCACATGAGGCGCCAGAGCGAGTGCCAGGACACTGGCAAGACGAAAAAGGAGGATGAGTTCAGGAACAGGAGCCAGAGTTTGGACGGAGGGGTGCGCATGGCCCTTCCGAAAATTGATTCCGATTGTGAGACCACTTACAGGATTTATGAGAGCATTCTGAGGCAAGGTAAAAGGCTAGGGGGGCCACCAATTCGGTGGCGAAGTCGTCAAAGGTCAAGGGTGTAGGGGAGGTTGGGGTAAAACGGACACTTTTGACTTTTTTTTTATGTTAATGAGGGGTTGAAATGGTGATTAAATTTAATAATTTTTTTTTCAATACGAAGGAGAATTCTTTCCCTTTGGGACGAGCCTTAACTGAGCGGAATTGATCCATTTGTTTCTGAGTTATGAATAATTTTAAAAATGTCTCAAGTGGACGTTTTACCCCACCCTCCCCTACTACACACTTTCGGTCAAAATTCAGGTTTTTTTTATTTTTCTGGCAAATTCAGTAGCGAAGCGGTAAACCGGGTTAAGTCGATTTTTACTATTGGCTAGTTTTTGACGAATATCTCGGAATCTAGAAGAGATAGAAAGATTTTTGTCATGACCTTTTTTGTAGAGCCAATAGAGCGTTATAAAAAAAGTCATGAGGAAAATTTTGCTATCTCTCTTAGATTCCGAGATATTCAGCAAAAACTAGCTAATAGTCAAAATCGACTTAACTCGGTTTATCGCTTCACTACTGAATTGTTGATCGGATTGACGCGAAATAATTTACCGTTTTTGCGTTTTATCATTATTGACTGACTCACGATGTTTTATGGTAGTGCAATCAGTCTACTGCGTTTTTTCTAAAACTTTTCGGAAAATCACAAAACTTTGGAGAAAATGCAGGAATATTATTGCACGACTATGAAATTTCTTGAGTCATTGAGTGACGATAGAACGCAAAAACGGTATATTTTTTTACGTCAATCCGGTCAACAATTTACCAGAAAAATTAAAAAAATGTGAATTTTGGCGAAAAGGGTAATACATTCTTGAGTCAATTTAGTCTTTAGTTGAGTTTTCCAGAAATATTTCCGAATTTAAGGGAGATAGCGAAATTTTCATAATGACCTTTTTTATTGAGCGAATTGAGGGCTACTAAAAAGGTTATGATAAGAATTTTGCTAGCTCCCTTAGATTTCGAGATATTCATTGAAAACTGGCGAATGGCCAAAATCAACTTGAACCGTTTGACCACTTCGCTACTGAATTCGATTGCACGAGGAGAAAAATTCAGTAAAAATTACCAGAAAAAAACGTGAAAATTCCGTTTCGAAATGTAATCCGTGAGCGAAGTAAAATGCAATAAAAAGTGCGAGTCGGAAGTGAAATTGTACAAATCACCACGTAAATTCTGCGATTTGTTCTATAAAAATTACCCGGCTTCATAAAAATTGCTGAACGTTCAAGAATTTTTTATTTTGAAGGCATAATGAGTCGGCAAGTTTCCGTAAGATTTTAATTCTCCGGAAAAAATTACGTGGCAATTTCGTACTTTGTTCGATTAACTCAGCGCAATATTAACTACTGTCTTGATAAGATCGAAATTCATTCAGAAGTCTTGTTGAATCATGCGTCACGTAAGCAGGGGCTCATATTACTGTAAGTGTAGTGTTACAGAAAAAGAATGGAAGGGAGGTGAAAATATGTGGGATTGAGGGAGAAGAGAAAGCACGTGAGGCAGCTATACTTTTTAGATCTATTTTCAACGGTTGGAGATTGACAATTTTTAGGCTCGCGAGAGTATATTTCACTCTCTTCATGCGACAAAGCAAATTCAGGCGACATTTACACAAAAGGGTCATGAGGCTCAGCAAGCTTATTTAAACGATCTTGCAATAAATTCAGCAGCGAAATTGTCAAGCGGTTAAAATCCACTCTGACTATTCGTCAGTTTTCCATGAATATCTCGGAATCCAAAGCAGATGGCAAAATTTTTGTTGGAACCTTTTCTGTAGAGCACATTGAATGCTACAAAAAAGATAGTGACGAAAATTTCGCTATCTCCCTTACATTTGCAGATATTCGTCGAAAGCTTAACTAAGAGTTGAATCGTTTTATCACTTCGCTACTGATTTCGTTTTTAGTTTTAAAAGTTTGTCTGCCATGATTTTTGGAGGGAAGGTGAATGGCTATGTCTCCAGTTGTCTTATAAATAGGATTTGTAGGAGTATTTTTACATCAAACCGTCTGGTATGTGCTATGACTCATTTAGAAACATTTCATTAATCAACATTTAATATCAATTTCCACGGATTCCATCAATCCAAATGGATTATTAATTGATGGAATTAATGTGAATGGATAATAAATATTGTACGTCACTAGAAAATGTGGTGGAGCCTTATCCGACGATATTTCTTTCGTATAGAAGAAAAAGGGCCGCACCGGACGTGACGCGGGGGGCGAAGCCCCTCCGAGGCTGGCGAGCGAAGCCAACAGGGGGCGAAGCCCCTAGTACAGCGTAAAATTCCAAATGAACTGCTCTATTATAGGAGTTCACTGTTAAAACTATACGATACCCTAGCCTAGGGGTCGATATCTGGACGTGAAACACCAAATAAAAATGACGAAAGATTCATAATATAATTATTTTACTTAAAAAATTCCATAAATCAATGGAAAAACAAAGATTTCTTCGCAATTAACTCATCGTTACATCTTCTGAAATGAAAAGCCAAAAGTTATAAGTCAGAGCTAACAAATGATGATTTCTCCACTAATAAAAAAAAATTCAGTAGCAAAGTGGTAAACCGGTTTAAGTCGACTTATCTCTCAGTTGCGTTTTTGAAGAATATCTCCGAATTTAAAGGAGATAATGAAATTTTCGTAATGACCTTTTTTCTAGAGCAAATTGAGTGCTACAAAAAAGGTTCTGACGAAAATTTAGCTATCTCCCTTCGATTCCGTGATATTCACTAAAAACTGGTCAATAGTCAAAATCGAGTTAAACCGGTTTACTACTTCGCTACTGAATTTAAGCGCTTCATTCATGTTCTTCAGTCAATACGAACAGGAACTATTTCGTGAACAACACAACATCTCATTCTTGAATAACAGCTTTCATTGGAGATTTCAATAGAACGACACATCCACAGCTCCCTCGAGTATTCACTGCAATTAACATGAAAAAATATCAATTGGGTCTGATAATTTTCTCTAGGTGCACTTCGGAGAAATTCTCTGGAGCCTGGACAGAGGCGTTTGTCACTCGGAACACCGGCCATACCTCACAGAGCTTCAGACGCCTGTTTGGATCCTGTGCACGCTGCTATTTTATTCCGCGATGCTCGAGGCGTAAGTCCCATTATCTCTTGTCTCAATTTCTGCTTTACACTGCTTTCTTATCGAGTCTCCGAGCGGCTCAGTTTTATTATTATCGTGAACTGCGTGTTTCGAGAGTTTCGTGGATTCCGTCATTCTATGGTTGTGGTGACACCCAATATGGGGGACGTAATACGAAGCCCAGGGGGTAATCACGCGGAAAAAATCGTGCAAAATTTCAAGGGTAGTCTCTTGAAAATTCGGGGACATTTGTGGTGCGTGTCTGGAATTTTAACGAGACATTTCCTCTTAATCTATGGAATACGAATTTCAGTGAAAATTATTCAGTGAAAATGGGAAAAATTCAGGTGAATATATTTTTGCTTTTTTTTATGGTTGAGGATGTCCGGAGAATATTGTCAGCGTCGGAGATGTTACAGCTATTAAAATTTTAATTTACTGGACGACACGAGGTTCATACTCTTACATTATTAAAAATGACAACTGTATTTCCAATTAGAAAATATTGATTAGAAAGGAATTTTATATTAGGGGTAGGATTCAATTTGGGAACATTTCGAAAACCAGGAAATTTAGAGTTGAATTGAACATAATATTGATTTTAATTGTAAATTTTTGGGGAAATCATTCATTTTATGAGAAGTTTTTTTCTGTATATAAAATGGAAATCCATTTTTCTGATAATTACTTCTAGATTCTCTATGAAATTCCGATTTTTAGAACATTGTGCGAGTTTAGAAGATTCTGAAGCTTTTTGAAACGTCGAAAAACAGTGAATTTCCTGAAAACCACAAGATTTCGGAGAACTCCGAGGTTTAAAACAACTCCAATGAGAAAACACTTGTAAAAATCATTTCTCCCAAAGAACATTAGCCCCAGAAAAAAATTAAAAAATGTGTAATTGAATAGTTTGAATGTTCAATGAATAACATTCCTGTGAAATTTTCAAAAACCTCCAAAAAGAATTAAATTCAAGAAATCGAAGAATAAAAAAACTCAGTTATATCTGTACACCATACGAAGAGCTATTATTCCTCATCTTATTTATCAATAATGAGAAATTATTGTTGACAAATAGAATTCAGTAGCGAAGGGATAAAATAATTTAAGTCGACTCATCTGTCAGTTGAGTTTTTGAGGAATATTTCCGAATCTAAGGGAGATATCGAAATTTTCGTAATCACATTTGTTGCAGCGCTCAATCGGCCCCACAAAAAAGGTTATAACAAAAATTTTGCCATCTTCCTCAGATCCCGAGATATTGATTGATAACTGGTCAATAGTCAAAATTGAGTTACACCTTTTTACCACTTGGCTACTGAATTAATCATCGAAAGTCGCCAACGCAAGCGCAGATATTGTATTTTTACTCAGAAAATGCTCTCATCTCATTAGTTATATCTGCACGCCATACGAAGGGCTATTATCCCTCACTTTATTTATCAATAATGAGAAATTATTGTTGACAAATAGAATTCAGTAGCGAAGGGATAAAATAATTTAAGTCGACTCATCTCTCAGTTGAGTTTTTGAGGAATATTTCCGAATCTAAGGGAGATACCGAAATTTTCGTAATCACATTTGTTGCAGCGCTCAATCGGCCCCACAAAAAAGGTTATAACGAAAATTTTTCCATCTTCCTCAGATCCCGAGATATTGATTGATAACTGGTCAATAGTCAAAATTGAGTTACACCGTTTTACCGCTTGGCTACTGAATTAATCATCGAAAGTCGCCCACGCAAGCTCAGATGTTATATTTTCACCCAGAAAATGCTCTCGCCTCATTATAATTTTTTTCCCTCCGCCAATTGACCCATTTATTGACCCCTTTCCCAAGCTCTATTTTCCCGCCTGAGGGTGGTACACAGCACGCTGTGCTTCTGCGCTAATGTACAACTGTACAGCACCCATACATGAGCCTGAGTGAGGTACCTATCGCTCGATCCAGTTGTTCGCGATTCGTTGAGTCCGTTGATCACACCGACACTTCGGCTCAAGATGATTTTAATTGATTCACATACCCAAGTAGTTTCCTTCGAACGTGGAAATGGAATAATTGCGAGCATTCGGTACTCCGATAACAACGATAAGAATTGTAATGATGACGCAATTGACGGCTTCATTAGCTCCTGCACTTATCCCCGGAATATGATGAGCGAACGCGCGATTGTATGGTTTGCACGTTGAAATCTAACAATATGGTGTACAGACGACAAATAAGTGAACCAACTGGTGGACCCAGTGCTACCAGAAATCTATCGCCAACCTCTGGCTCTAACCCATCTAACTTGATTGCTCAATGGTGCGCGAAAATCGCTACAAATGTTAAACGCCAGACTTTCGGACATAAATCCGGAGCGAAGAAGGCACTGGTATTTTCTGGCGTTATTTTTGTTGCGTCATTCCTCTCCTCTTCAACTCACCAATTTTTTTCCATCTCATTTTGTTTGATTTCATTCTCGTGTTTATCAAGGGGTCAGTGAATGGGGGAATTAGGGGCCTAATTCTCACGGAGAAAATACGACGGATGGAAAGTTTATCGGAATTTAATCGTCATTTTTTGGGAAATTTGATATCTCTAAATGTAATAAATATGGTAATTTCTGGGACTGGTGGAGATAAGAGAGATCTCGACACCGGGAACTTAATTTGTTTTATTCTGATGTTTGGGTTTTGAGATTTTGTCATTCTCTTCTGAATTGCCGAGTGTAAAACGGTTTTTAGAATTTTATCATTCGGAATTACATTTTGAATTGATAAATTGAGCTAAAATTGTTTAGTAGAATTGATAGAAATTTGTTTCATTGAATTAATTAATTAATTAAATGAAATAAATTCAATGAGTAAATTTAAAAAATTAAATAAATTGAATGAGTGAATGAATTTATTAATTCAATGAAATAAATTCCCATCAATTCTATCCATTTCTACCATTCATTTATTTAATTAATTAATCAATTAATTAAATGGAGCACTCCAATGATAATAAACAAAAGTAGGGTATTTTCATTTTTTTTAACGTTTTATTTGTTTGCTATTTGGAGTGGAATTTTCCATCAAACTGTGAGAATTTTCCCATGCATTTTCTTCCGTCCGAGTGACTCTTGGTATGTCGATAATTTACGCTATGTGATTGGGTGCACTAACACTCGCCTCAAGAGCGTTGAGAATAAAAAAAACTAATGGCTAAAAATACCGATTGATTGGTAAAATTAAAGGAGATTGGTGGGCAATTGGTGGAGTCGATAAATCTAATTGTCCTGTTTTATTTTCACAGCTACCTGTTGTCGATCCCTTCTTGGAGAAGGTCTCACTCTCAGATCTTGGTAAGAACGGCTTATGCTCAATGATGCGTTTTAACTTGTTAATGCATCGTGGGGTAAACCCCAGAATATCGGAAAATCACATGGCCACTGTCGTAAATCGACGGGAAAATGCATTTCTAGAGAGCGAGAGACCAGTGTTTCTATTTTTACATCCACGGTCGCGAGTTGAAGCTATTTTTTTTTGAATTAATAAATTTCTTGTTGAAGTACTGATGCCATCGAACATTAATTGTCTTTTATAGTTTTTTGTGATGGAGAAAAACTGAAGCGCGAGCATTCCGCGGATAAAATCACGAGAGAATTTTTAGTTGAAACCCTGAACTGATTTTACATGAGTGAAGATAGAAAATTGAGGGAATTTGGAGAAATTTTAAGGACATTCTCACTGATATTTCAGGGAAAATGTGTGGAATTTGCGAATTTTGACAGGAGAATGTGCTTTTTAATTTTGAATCAATTGAAATTCAATTATTTCTGTTTGAAACTCCGGAATTCCCGTGCATTCCCCTGAATTCTTCGTCCGAATCAAACGCAATTTCACTTTTTTAAATTTTAAAAACTTCAAAAAATGTGAAATTCCAAGAAGTAAAACATTCCTGAAAAAAATTTGGAGTCCAACTGTTTGAAAATAGTTGTTCGAGTGCAACAGACAGTAGACAGTATTTACCCCCCAGGTAATTGCTCTTTTTCTCTTGGCAAAGCCACTGAAAATGTTCATTCGCGTTATTCTTGGCGATCGACTAGAGTCGCCCGACTGTTGGGTCCGAGCAGACGTTCAGTTTCACTTCAACTTGGCTGCAATCTCGAGCCGTTTGAATCCCCTGAAAACGCTATTCCATGTGTAACAAAAGGGGGAAAAAAGTCGATTCAAGTGAATGGAGTTTGCAATAAATACTGAACGGGGTGTTGAATGCGAGGGCTTTCAATCGGGTTGTATCGACATGAAGGTGGACGGAAACGCCGATCGACAGCCTTGAATGTCTCGATGTTTGGCAGTACGTGCTAGTATGTTTTCCTTTATAATTAGCTGCGGTTTCTGAAACGTCTGTCGCGTCTGCAGAGTCGCGAAGAGGATCAGTGGGATTATTGAGCCACCAGAGCAGTTGTGCGAGTCATTGAATTTCCAGTGTGAGAATGATTGAGGAAGAGGCATCGACGAGTGGAGAAATCAGCCGATTGGTGGAGCACAGGGAATGTGGAGTCACCAGCGAGAATGCAGGGGAGGAAACGAATTGAAGGAGTCAATGCTGGGGATTAACATCGCTCTTCGAGATTGGAGGATGGAAGAAATTGATTTGTGACATGTTTTCTCGCGAAAATGCTGACGTTACATTACTATTCTGACGCAGAGTGCGCACGAGCTTCTATTAAACACTCGGCGTCGGCCTGGTGGAGTCAGGACGATGATCCTGTTTACTCCAAGGATCTCATTAAAGAGTTCGATGAGGAGAATCCACCGTTGGAGAATGAACTTGCTTGGATACTGTCCAGAGGTATTGCTGCAGGGAGCAGAATTTCATTGGAAAATTTTGATAATTCGGTAGAATATTCTGTTGGATTTTTAGGGAACTTCATTTAAAAAAATGGCCAATAGAAATTATTTTATCGAAATCAGTAGAATTTCATTTTTTTGTACAACTTTTTTTATTTGAAGATTTGCTATAGAAATTGCTCGACGTGAATTCAATAGTGAAGTGGTAAAACGGTATAAGTCAATTTTGAATATTGACCTGTTTTCAGTGAATATCTCGGAATCTAAGAGAGATAGCAAAATTTTTGTTAGAACTTTTTTGTAGAGCCGATTGAAAGCTACAATAAATGTAATTACTAAAATTTCGGTATCTCCCTTAGATTCCGAAATATTCCTCAAAAACTTAACTGGAAGATGAGTCGGCTTCTTCTCTTTTCATTTAAAAAAATCAAGCAAAAAACATTGAAAATTTAAGATGAGGAGTTCCTGCAGAAAATGTTTCAGTAGAATAAATTGATGAGAGAAATCAAATTCTTCTTTTCCTTTTTTTATATATTCCATTGAATATTTCTACTGATCCTGCGGGATTTTCCAATAGAATCAGGCAAAAAATAATAGAAAGTTCAATAGAAATCCAATAGAAAGTTTCACCGAATTCGCTAGATTTTCCTCCATTCATTTGCGTGTGGGGGGCTGCGGTAGTCAGGATCCCGTTTCAATGATTGATATTCGATATTGTAGGAGTGACCACCGTACACGACTTTTGATGCTCGACTGGTTTTGTCACTTAATATCTCTTCCATTAATATTTCATTATGAATTTGAGGGGGTGGGGAGAGGGGCCATGTGATTCCGATAGTTTTTTCTATTGACGAGGAGATTAGATGATTTCAATTATTTGTATTGCAGAGGAGGACGAGTCGCAGATATTCGTGAAATTCTTCAAGTTCCACAAGTGCTATGACTTGATACCTACGAGTGCCAAACTCGTTGTATTCGACACTCACTTACTTGTGAAGAAGGCATTTTTCGCGCTCGTTTATAATGGTGAGGAATATTATTTCGATAAGGGAATGGTGAATTGAAATAATTTGATTTTAAAGTGGATTACAATTATATTTTTTCAAGAATGCAGATGAAAAAATTCTTCGGAAAAATTATTTCTCGACAGTTCGATCCACAATTAACTATTTCATCACCTCTTTAATTCCATTCACTCTAATATTCACTATTTTTATTTAAAATCCAGGTGTCAGAGCAGCTCCACTGTGGGACAGCTCTAGACAGGAGTTTGTCGGTATGCTGACCATCACAGATTTCATAAAAATCCTTCAGATGTATTATACGAGTCCCACCGTCACCATGGACGAGCTGGAGGAGCACGAGTTGGACACTTGGCGCAGTCAGTATTACTTTATTCGCAAAAACTTCAAGTCGATTCATCTCTCACCCCAGTTTACGCGAAATATCTCCGAATCTAAGGCAGATATCGAAATTTTCGTAATCACCTTTTTTGAAGCTCCCGATTCGCCCTACAAAAAAGGTTCTAACAAAAATTTTGCCATCTGCCTTGGATTTCGAGATATCAAACGATTTGTGCTTCTTGTCCACCAGAATTAATTGACCGATGGCGTTTGCCTTCATGCATTCGATTTTAAACCAAGTGTTCATGATTTTTTGGCTTTTGCAGAAGTTCTCAAGGACCAGGTTCATCCCCTCGTGAGCATAGCTCCGGACGCTTCTCTCTACGATGCAATAAAAACCCTAATACAAAATAGAATTCATCGATTGCCTGTGATAGACCCGGATACCGGAAATGTATTGTACATTTTGACACATAAGAGGATACTTAGGTTTCTATTTCTCTACATTCACGAGCTACCAAAGCCATCGTTCACCAATAAAACACTCCGAGAACTGAGAATAGGAACATTTGAGAATATAGAGACAGCAACTGAAGAAACTAGTATAATTCTAGCACTTAAAAAATTCGTCGAGAGGCGAGTGTCAGCTCTGCCAGTCGTTGATTCCGAGGGAAAACTAGTTAATATTTATTCCAAGTTTGATGTTATTAATTTGGCTGCTGAGAAAACTTATAATAATTTAGATGTCTCGTTGAGGGAGGCTAATGAGCACAGGAATGAGTGGTTCGAGGGCGTACAAAGTTGTAAATTAGATGAAACACTTTTTACTGTTATGGAGAAAATTGTTAGGGCTGAGGTGAGTTGGAGAATAAATAACGCTTTAGTATGGGGAATTTTAAAAATAATTTGATACTGATTATTTTGCTTTTTTTGTAGGTTCACAGACTAGTTGTAGTCGATGAAGAGGAGAAAGCCATCGGCATTATTTCTCTGTCCGATTTGCTGTTTTATCTGGTCCTCAGGCCTTGTGGTAATTATCATTATATTTTTTTATTGTAAATGGCCCTTGAGACTTTTAGATTTTTACTTCATTAATCATCATTTAAGTGTTTTAGTCCAATTACAATTTACAATTTTTTTCCTATAATTTTGATATAATATTATTTATTTAGGAGATTCATGAAATATGTCTGAATTAATTATTGTGTAAATTCTTTTTAAAGTATTCTTATTTTTCTCCAGAATTTGGGAATGTCAATTGTTGGATTTAAATACTCGATTTGCCTATCCCAAATTTGTCACTCCTGCATCGCCAAAAAATGAAGATAAAATAATAAAATTGATAGAGAAATTGGAGTAAAATTGCGTAAAATTCCAGGTGAAGACAGTACGAGCACCAAAGGTAGTTCAATATCCCTTCGGGCCCAAGACTCCTTGAATTCCACAAAAGTACTGAGTTCAGCACAATCAGAGGCATCACTGGCAGACGAGGATCAGCCAGACGCGACGCCGAGTCCTCCCCTGAGTCCAGCAGCTTCAGACACCTCAGAGTTGCAGCAAACCCTGGTGAACCCCTCGCAAGAGCCATCCTGGCGAGAGGTGGCAGTCTCCGGGGGTGAGTGAATGCCAAAATCACCCAGAGCACCACGCAAGAACGTTCTAAATCGAGGAAAAGCTCCAACTCGCAGGGAAATTTGATATCGAATTACCGAATCATTGTCGGGGGAACGATGGATCCCCTGGCCTGTAGATTTGCCTTAAATTTTCGTCGCTCATTAGTCAACAATAGTTTTAGAAAGAAACCCTTAATTTTCATTAATTCGACAGAATGAGAAATTTGTATTCAATAACAACGTGTAAAGGCGTCTAGTGTTGCCATTACAACGCGATGATAGCTTTCAACTTGGAGAATTTTTTCATTGTACTGTAATCTTTCCTGTATATGGTAAACAAATTTTTTCTCGTTTTTCTCGTTTCTCCAGCATCATTTGTCCTAGTCTTTGCTTGTAGAGTGATTGCAGAATAGAATGTGTTGAAAATAATTTCAGTAATTAAATAAATGAAGAATGTTTATAGATTTTACCCCTTTATGTAATCATTCGTGAGGCTTCAGTGATTGATAATTGAAGAAAAAAAACAATTACAGGAAGTGGAATGAATTTTTTTTGTAAAAGAAATGGAAAACACGTGTCATATAATAGCAATAATCTTATGCAATAAGAAATAAGCTGTATTGATTTGTGATAGTGCCCCTGGTCTATGACTGTAAAAATAGAATAAACAATTGGAAATGAAAATTGAATTTTGGTTCGAGTTTGGATGAATTGAGAGCAAAATTTGTATATATTTTTGAGTGCTACGCTTGCAGTGGCATGTGCACATGTTACAATGCGATAAATTACACAAGAATCATGACTCATTGACGTTTGAAAGTCGTTATTAGTGATGCTACTGTCGTGTCTGTCATTACAACGGTTTTAGACATTTTTTTTTATTGGCTACTGCTGAGGGAAGTGCAGTGCAGTTGTGAAAACACTGAGAGATGATTAATTGTGTAATACGAGTGTGTGAGGTTTGTTGAAGGCCTATGAAAATTATGATGGAACAAATTGTATCTGCAACTGAGTTATTATTTGCTGCCTTAGGAGGTCCAATTCATTAATTCAATCTACTGAGACAGTGATTTCACGCCCAAAAGCCTTCGATTAAACACAATGCAATTACGATTTATTGAATTCTCATATTATAAATGCAAAATATTTAACAATTGTAATCAGGATATATTTTAGGTATTATTGATAGGCATTGTGCGATGTAGAGAAAATTTACGATGACAAGGGGAAAAGATACTTGATGATTTATTGTAATTGTGAATGTGAAAAAGAACGATTAATAAAATAAGGCACTAATTTTGTCATATGAGGTCGTTATCGGGTGCTTTGGGGGGTTACATGGTATTTATTTATTTTTGGAAACGGTAGAAACAGTTGGGGGAAGGATGACAGGAAATTCAAGGAAAAATCCCATTTTTTTTGATTTTCTGAGGACCAATTTGGAATTTTTGCTGGGGAATATCAGGGGAACATAAAGTGAAGAGAATTGTATCAAAGCTTAAGGCAAAGGTTTATTCTCATGTAGAATACAAATATAGAGATTTATTAATACACAATTTGTGAGGATATTTCACATCCTCTACTGGTCCAACGCCGCGAAAAATGGAAGAATACTTTACTCGAAAAATTCTTACAAGTCTGAATGACGTCAAAACCTCCTAAAATATTGGATTTTCTCCTCCACTTTTGGCTCTTTAAACATTTTTAAAAATTAAACGATAAGTACTTGACATTTTTACAGCAAAAAACTCAATTTACTGAAGCCCAATGTAGGATTCTCCTTCGTAAAATATGAGGGAAGACATCACAAATCAAAACTCGAGCTAAAATTTTATGCTGATGTAGAATGCAAATATAGAGATTTATTAATACAGAATTTGTGAGGACATTTTACATGCTCTACTGGTCCAACACCGCGAAAAATGGAAAGATAATTTACTCGAAAAATTCGTACAAGTCTGAATGACGTCAAAACCTCTTAAAATATTGGATTTTCTCCTCCACTTTTGGCTCTTTAAACATTTTTAAAGATTAAACAATAAGTACTTGACATTTTTACAGCAAAAAACTCAATTTACTGGGGCCCAATGTAGGATTCTCCTTCGTAAAATATGAGGGAAGACATCACAAATCAAAACTCGAGCTAAAATTTTATTCTGATGTAGAATACAAATATAGAGATTTATCAACACAAAATTTGTGAAGAACATTTCACATGCTCTACTGGTCCAACGCCGCGAAAAATGGAAAAATAGTCTACTCGTAAATTATTTTAAGTCTGAACAACGTCAAAACCTCGAAAAATATTGACTTTCTCCTTCACTTGACTCGATTCCTCTTGTGCGCTGGGTTTCTTCTCGTGCTGGAAGACAGTGCCCTCTTCTTGCCCTCAGGAAGCTTCGCCTCATCAGCCTCACCCTCGATCACCGTCATCTTATCGAATATCTCGTCGCACTCGTCGTTGATCTTAGCTTCTTTCTCCTCATCGTCTTCAGTTGCTCCATCGGTCACACCCTTGTCCCCTCGTTTCTCCTTCTCGGAGCGTTTTATGTCCAGTGTGGCGTTCGATCGCAGGATCATACAGCTCAATCTCGAGGTGAGGTAGGTCTTGTGCAAGAGTTGTTTTGTGTCGAGGTGGTGCACACGCAGATGCCTGTCGAGACTGACACTCACCACGTAGGGATGACTCTTCGTGCAGGCGATCGATGTTATGCTCCCTGCAGAGTCTTTGTAAGTGTTCAGTACCTTTCCTGGATTTCGAAGGTCTATAAGATTCATTATTCCTTTTCCTGAACCAACGATAATATGTCTGGAACGTTTTTTTGTAAATTAATAACTTATTTAATCCAAAATTTATAATTGAATTAATTATCATTAATTAGATTTAATTATTATATACTATTATATTATAATTAATAAATAATAATAATATTACAATAATATATCATAATTGATTATATTTAATTAGATTATTATTATTATTATTATTATTATTAATATTATAATTGATTATAATTGATTATAATTGAACTGAATTATAGCAAAGCTACATTTATTTATGAAAAACTAATGATATGGCTAAATAAATGAATGTAGCATTGTTATAAATTTGACAGTAAATCATTTATGGTAAAAAATTAATTAAATTGCGTTTTTCCAATTAAACAAATGCAGAAGCTTCAATAATAATTTAAACTTTGAAATTTAAATTTTTTTTTGGATATTTTGGAAATTTGGATATTTTTATCAAATATCCAATCCACTTCTGAATAAATAAATTAAAGACTAAAAAATATTACTTCTCTTTTGGAGCTACAGCTAGAGTAGTCCATGCTTGGTCCTTCACTTCTAAATTAATAACTGGACGTCTCTGAGCACTAGGATCGTACAATCGAACCTGAAAAACAAATGAAGAGTTAACAGACGATTCGGCAACAATTGTAAGGTATTTTTAAATCGATTTTAGTTGACCTCTTCTTCGCTTGTTTTTAATTAAACGTTTTGATTGTGATAATTACGTGTCCATATCTGCTGCACGTTGCAATCTGCGAAGACTCCGACAGAAACCCAATATCCGATATCCAGAGGGGAACCTTCATCTCCAGCCAGTCGTGACGAACATTCTTTTCCTCAAATATCCTGGTTTTCCTCTCCAAGTCGAATAATTGCAGCTTGTGTTCGTTTCCCCCAGTGGCAATGACATTTTTGTCGACGTTTGAGGGTCTCATCCTGTGCAGATTGTTGCCGGCTTCGATTAGCAGGTGCCCGTCGTCCTCGTGCCTCCAGAGCTTCACGTGTCCAGACTCCACTGCTGTTAATATTGCGCTGGGAATTATAAAGGAAAAAAATTTATCAGAATTCTGCAGAGAAGATCACTTGAGTGGTCACGAGAAAGGAAAATCTCAGACCTTTAGTGATCAATTCATTTCAATAAATTTTATTGCAATAAATTTATTTATTTAGGAAATTTACTGCATTATGGAATTGAATTAACTTTGCAATTGAGAGAATTAGGAGAGGTTGGGGTAAAATGGACACTTTTAACTTTTTTAAAAATATTTGTGACGGGTTGAAATGTTGATGAAATTTAAACTTTTTTTTTTCAATACAAAGAACAATTCTTTCCCTTTGTGATGAGCCTAAATTGAGCTCAACTCATAAATTTGTTTCTGAGTTATGAATATTTTTAAAAAAAGTCTAAAGTCTCCATTTTACCCTACTCTCCCCTATTAAGATCACACGTCTTTTGTTCAATATTCAACAAAAAAATTGAAATAGAAGGTCTGGAAAATTCAATCCGATTATTTCGGAACTCAAAAATCAATAGGTTATTTAATTAAAAATGAAAACATACTCATCATATCGTAAAATGCCCCTGATGGAGCCCTCTCCAGCGTCGCAAGTGAATGTCGAAGCAAACGATGAGGTTCCGCACTCATAAATTTTCACCCTAAAAAATTGAAATTAATTCAGAGCATAAAAAGAGGAGAAAATTCAAAATTGTTCACTGGAAAAAAAATTACCCTTTCTTGTCTTTCGTTCCATATCCAATGAGAATTTCGTCCTCATTCTCGTCACTCCAGGCCATTGCCGTCACCTCATGGTCGTTGGTTATGGAAACTAAACTCTGCAGATTCTTCATTTTGCACAGACTCTTCTCGTATTTGATCCCTGTCAGCAATAATTAAAATAATTAGAGTTGTAATGAATTTAATAATTTGAAATGATTCAATGTTTCCTTAGGCACAACGAAAATTTAAATAAATATTTCCTGCATCATTCATTATGGTTATAAATTAATTCAACAAAGGGGAGTTCATCCCCTGAAGTAGTAAATTCGTACCTTTGAAGACACCTGACTTTCCCCCCACGAACAAATCGAAATCGTCTTTGGACTCCATCATTTACGCTGGACAATAAATATGACAATAAATTCTGATAATTTTGTCGGAAGGATTTTGCAAACAATAACACTGCACTCCCTCGTGACCACGTGTTCAACGCAATGTGAGAGGCTCGTCTGACTGTAGCGAAATCCTGGAGCTTGCGCGCATTGTAGACTATTTTCGGGGTATGGAAGCCCTCCGATTGGCCAGGACCAATCGCCTCTGACCACTTGTGAGCTTCTCACTTATTTGTTGCTCACTGCTGTCTTAACCTCGATCCGAAAATTGACAGTCACTTGTGGAATCAACAATTAAGCATTGTTAATTAATAATTTATGTTTGCGGTGAATACTGGACGTATTCGTTGGAATTCTGGTCAACGAGTTTGGGACGTTATTATTAATGAGGAAAATTAAGCTCCAATGACGTATGATAATTCATTCATTATTTATGACAGGTTCATTAGGGGGGCGAAGTGCTTTTGGTTTTTTTTGGTGAAATACTTTTCAACTTTATTTGACCCCAGGGGACTATTAACGTTTTGGGATTTTTTGGGATTGAAACTTTGAGGAGAGACATTTGAATTGAAATTTTTGTTTTGTTAAATTTTTTTTAGTATTTAGAGTTGAATAGCAGAGCTTTCATTTGAGATCTTTTTTGCGGTCTGGATGTCTCAATTTTATTCTCCATTTTGAACCGGAAAATTAAAAAATATGGGGAAGATTCATCAAAGTTACATTTTTTAACAATCAATTTTTCACTCTAAAATTCATTTTTTGTGAATAGTAACAAATTTCATTGTTTGGAATTCTGTCAGACAGAACAATTGCAAAATTGGCATTTTGGAAACATTACCATTTTTCCATAAACAATTCATAAACAATTAATTGTATACTCCAATAATAATTTAAACATTTTTTTGCAATCCTCATTCTCCATTTATGAAATAATTATTTCCCTATAAATCTTCATATTCATTTCTCACATTCAACAATCGACAAATTCTCTAAAAAATTCGACTATCAACGCGCGAAATTTTTCATTCCAATTTCTCAGATCTGCAGATGAGCCCGAAAGCCAAACGATGAGATAAAAAATGAGGGAATCAATCAGAAGATAAATGAGTCAACTACTCGGTTAAACTGGGAGACAATCGACAATGGGTTTCAAAACTTTAAAGAAAGACATTTGAATTAAAAATTTTTTTTTCGTTGAAATTTTTCCAATATTTCGAGTAGAACATCAGAGCTTTCGAGTGGAATATCAGGAAGAACAATTGCAAAATTGCCATTTTTGAAACATCACCATTTTTCCATAAACAATTAATTGTGCACTCCAAAAACAATTTTTAATTTTTTTACACCCCTCACTCTCCATTTCTAAAGCGATTATTTCCCGATAAATCTTAATATTCATTTCTCACATTCACCAATCGACAAATTCCCTAAAAAATCCGACTATCAACGCACGAAATTTTTCATTCCAATTTCTCAGATCTGCAGATGAGCCCGAAAGCCAAACGATGAGATAAAAAATTAGGGAATCAACCAGAAGATAAATGAGTCAACTACTCGGTTAAACTGGGAGACAATCGACAATGGACTTCGTCTGCATAAAGGACATTCGCCCAGGCCAGAAGAACATAAACGTGATGTTCATAGTGCTCGAGGTGGGTCACCCCACGATAACGAAAGAGAATCGTGAAGTGAGGACGTTCAAAGTGGCTGACAGCACAGCATGCATGAACGTCTCGATATGGGACGAGCCAGGGCAGTTGCTGGTGCCTGGTGACATCGTCAGGTTGACCAAGGGCTACGCATCAGTGTGGCGACAATGCTTGACACTTTACTCAGGGAAGAACGGGGACATTCAGAAGATCGGGGAGTTCTGCATGGTGATCAATGAACAGATGAACATGAGCGAGCCGAACCCAGCCCTGGCGCAGCAGTTGGTCAATCAGGGGGGCTCAGGACCACCTGGCAGCAGTATCAACAGTAACATTGTTAACAATGGGAATGCTAACAATGTCTCGGCTGCATCGAGACAGCCTTTGGTAATTTCTTCATTCATTTCACTCCTGCATTTTACTATTCGATTTTTTTCATAGGGATTCCATTTTTCAGCAGTGATAGGCACATCCACCAATCATAATTACCGTTAAACTGCGAAGTTGTCAATTTTTAACATAAATCTTAAAAAATTTTAGTATTGAATAAAATGAGCCATCAATTTGTACATTCAAATTTCGAAATATTCCATTAACCAATAATTTAGGTAGGATGATTATTTGGATAATCGAAAATCACCTAAATTTAGAATTAGCTTGTTAACAATAAAAATTACATTTCAGTATTATCAAACATTTTATTCCCCATCAATCGGAAAATTTAGTTAATAAATTTTATATTTTTAATTTGTTAAATATAGTTAAACTTTGAATAATATAAGGAGATAATCCTTTTTTAATATTGTTAAAGTCTAATATCATTGGCCGTCCCTGTTTTTAAGAATGGCATTCCTGTTTAATTTTAGTAGACGTTAAAATGAATAATAGAATGCATGATTCTTCAGGGAATAAACACGACGTCGTCATCAATCTCGTCAATTTTTAACATAAATCTTAAAAATGTTAAATATTAAATGAACCATCAATTTGTAGATTCGAATTTCTAAATGTTCTATTAACCAATAATTTAGGTAGGATGACGATTATTTGGATAATCGAAAATCACCTAAATTTAGAATAGTTTGTTAACTAAAAATAACATTTCAGTATTATCAAACATTTTATTCCCCATCAATCGGAAAATTTAGTTAATAAATTTTATATTTTTAATTTGTTAAATATAGTTAAACTTTGAATAATATAAGGAGATAATCCTTTTTTAATATTGTTAAAGTCTAATATCATTGGCCGTCCCTGTTTTTAAGAATGGCATTCCTGTTTAATTTTAGTAGACGTTAAAATGAATAATAGAATGCATGATTCTTCAGGGAATAAACACGACGTCGTCATCAATCTCGTCAATTTTTAACATAAATCTTAAAAATGTTAAATATTAAATGAACCATCAATTTGTAGATTCGAATTTCTAAATGTTCTATTAACCAATAATTTAGGTAGGATGACGATTATTTGGATAATCGAAAATCACCTAAATTTAGAATAGTTTGTTAACTAAAAATAACATTTCAGTATTATCAAACATTTTATTCCCCATCAATCGGAAAATTTAGTTAATAAATTTTATATTTTTAATTTGTTAAATATAGTTAAACTTTGAATAATTTAAGGAGATAATCCTTTTTTAATATTGTTAAAGTCTAATATCATTGGCCGTCCCTGTTTTTAAGAATGGCATTCCTGTTTAATTTTAGTAGACGTTAAAATGAATAATAGAATGCATAAATTCTTCAGGCAACAAACACGACGTCGTCATCAGCCTCGACGTCGTCCACAGCCCCCACTGGCAATTCAACGAAAACCGGGAATAACTCCGGAAGTACGACGTCAGGACTTCCCGGAGGTTCGGCGAGGTTCAGCGGCGAGGGGAGCGCGTCGAAAACCACCGGCAAAACAACCGTCAGGGGCAAAACGGGGTACAGGAACGGTGGCCGCAATGAGCGGAGATAATACTTTCCACCAATTTTCTCAAATGACGAGTTTACTGGAGTTATCCTCAACCGGAGCTGATCCAAGTGCTATTGATCATTGTAATTTTGTAATGTTACCTAAGAATAATTATTAGTTCGTATATAGTAGTTTACTCGATTGAATCATGATTGTAAGATTATTTGGAATAATACTTGTACCATATTTGTACATGAGTGTTGTGATTGGAATCTAAAGGGAAAAAGAGTCGAATCTTATTTTTTTTTTATAGAAGAATATTTAGTTTTGACTATTGCATTCAATTCCTCTGGAAATTTACGATTTTTCTATTTTTTTTTTGCCCAGAAGTCCATTCTGACGATTTTTCCGCTTTTCTCGACTTCTGAACGTCATTTTAAAAATTCTACTGCTCATCACATCGTGAAATTTTGGTGGCTGATCGTCATACCGTCATATTTTCAGCGTTAAAAAAATCATAAATCAAAAACTTGGACATTTTTCTTTAAAAAACAGATCCCTTTCATTTTTTCATGTCAATCCCTCTTTTCGTGGATAAATTTTTCATCTTTGAATGTGCGGTATTATTTCTTTCAAAATTCGGTTCATGAAATTTCTCGTTCATATTGATAATTACTAAAATTAAGCTCTGAGATATTTCATAGAAAAAAGCCAATAGATTCCAGGGCCTTTTATAAGTAATTTCTGTTGAAAACAATTTTCGCTCATTTTAAATTATTCATTTTATTCATTTTAAATTATTTAAAAATGAACAAAATGCCAACGAACTTGAATTGGTCTTCAAATTTGAACGCGAATGCACGATCATCTGAAAAAATATGATGAGTATTTAATCTCCTTGTTAATCGCCGCTCTTAATCTCCGAAACTCCATTAATCCATTATCTCGAGCCCAAATACTTTATCTCTCATGACGACAATAATTCCACGAGACAGAGTCGTATCGCGAATCTCCATCAAACTACTAATCACGTTCAAATGACGTTGACGTATGGCAGCCGAACAGTGGTGTCCCGCGAATATCCATATTTTTGTATATTCCGGAGTGATTCACGATTGATAATGGAAGTATAGTGCCTCCATCTCCCCCCTTGCAAATGTATAAATAATATCCAGCCGTTTGGATGAATTAATTATCGAACTGGTGACTGAGTGCCTATTTTCGTGTGGAAAATATGTGACGAGGGGTTTGAGGTTATATTTACAATCAAAATCGAGTGATCTCCAGTTAATATCGACCGCAGGGACTGGGACCCACTGGACAACAGAGGTAATTAATACAGTAATTAAGTATTAAAATTATTCAATCAATTTCACTGGAATATTCCTAACATCTGGCGCATTCCAGACCACAGGGCAACCATGGTGCAATGGAGAAACTGTAGAATCAGGAACATGTGACGTTATTCGAGAAAAATAAATACGCAATAATATTCAGAAATTAAATATGCCAAGATCGGACATCAAGTATGAAATCGCGAGGAACGACCCGGACACGACGGAGTATTATCTCCAGCATGCGGAGGATCACCAGGCGACGACTAAAGGGGGAAAAACATTGGGACGAACAATTGCTGTTTCTCTTGTTTTAATTGGATTTTATTTCGTCCTATCCGTAGGACTCACGTTTTTTCAGCAATGGTTCAATCACGTGAGTTTTTTTTCATAATTACTGGTGGTGGCTAATTGCTCTTCCATTCGTGATGGCAGTCTCTATGTTCCTGAGAATAAAAAAAAAATTATCCCATTTCATGGAGAAATTCTACGATTTATCGCGATTAGTGTCATGTGTCCAGACTTCAGTTTTGTCCGATTATTCACTGAATTATATTAATGGGCTAATGAGAGATTCATGAATTTTAATTGTTGTGAATTTTAAATGTTCGTTAAGAGATATTCAGGTGAATTATTTATTAATGAGTTGAATGCATTCATTTAATTAATTCAAGTTTGTAATGAATGTCTGAATTGTTTTCATGCAAAGGCTATTCAAAGTGTTCTGATCATTCCAATTGATTGATAACTAATTAGTTTACTTTGTTTTTAAAAATTGAGGGATAAGGGATAAATTTGCTTGGAAAAATGGAAATTGCTGCTGAACTCACTGAGAAACGAGGGAAACCACTTGACGACTAATTGTTCCAGAAATACCATTATCCTCTCTCGACTGTGTTATGCCACCTGATCATCAAGTGGTCTCTCTCCGCTGTCATCAAGAATTTCCTGAGATGCTTGAACTCCAGGAGCCATCAGCAAATGCGCCCAACGTGGCCCAGCATTGTCTCGACACTTGCTCCACCTGGAATCGCCAGCGGATTGGACATTGGGCTCTCCAACTGGGCGATCTCCATGATCACCGTGTCCCTGTGAGTCTTCATTTCCCCTCTCCCCTCTAAAAGCCTCTTTCAAAAAGTCCTCTGAACTTCCTTCGTTTGAGATATTCGTAAGAATAAAAAAAGAACAAAGTAAACAATCAAAGTAAATAATCAAAGTTTATCTCGTTTCAAGGAAAATTTGAAGTAGCCTCATTATTTTAATCACAGATACACAATGACTAAATCTACAGCGATTATCTTCATCCTCGGATTTTCTCTGCTTTTTCATCTGGAGAGAAAGGTATGTCACGTGTATTTTACCTTTGGTTTTGTCACACTATTCTCCTGACCAATTTTTTTTTTGTTATATCATTCGCGAAATATGCATTCATTTCAAAGAAAATAATAAATTATCTGCGTTATCAACTTAAAGAATTGATTTTTTAATTCAAAGAATGGATTTTTCACGTCAATAAATTGATTGGTTGATTAAAAGAATCATTTTTTCTGCAGTCCTGGTCACTCGTTGGAGTAGTTGCCATGATATCCACCGGATTAATAATGTTTACGTATAAATCCACCCAATTTCAACTCCTCGGCTTCCTCCTGTGCCTGGCCGCCTCCTTCCTGAGTGGAATTCGCTGGACCATGGCCCAGTTGATCATGCAGAAGTCCAAACTCGGCCTGAACAACCCCATCGACATGATTTATTACATGCAGCCTTGGATGTTCATTGCCATTTTTCCACTTGTCATGTGGTTCGAGAGTGAGTTTTCCCATCTGTGGTCTTATCTCGGGGAAGTGGAGGAAAATGACACTTTCAGAAACAAAATTATTCCAGTCAACTCATAATTCAACGAGTTTTGACCATTAAAAATCGCTAGAGGTGCCCATTTTGCCCCACTGGCCCCCGTTAGTTGCTTCGATGAGTGAAAAATATATTTGGGGGTTCACCAGGTGGAAAGCTGTACTCAGAGCTGCACTCTGCTGATTGGAGCCAGTCCGGACTCGTCACTTGGACGATAATGGCTGTCTTGGGAGGTGCCATATTAGCATTTATTATGGAAATTGCTGAGTATATGGTTGTTACACATACATCTAGTCTTACTCTCTCGATCTCCAATATTGTTAAGGTAAATTTTTGCAGCCATTTCTTGTAGCTCTTCCCTAAATTACGAGATATTCTCATTTATCATCATTAGAAATCAAGAATTATTCTTCAATTCATTTTTTAAAATCATAATGAAATTCATTAATAGTTAACTGCACCAGTTTTTCGAAAATATCTCGGATTGAAACGATTGAACAAAATGAAAAAATCATATATTTTTACATAAACTTATTTTTGTAGCTTTCATTGGCCTTTTAGGAAAAGGGATTCATCATTTTTCTTCTGAAATTCATGAATAATCAATTAAATAATTTCACTCCAAAATTTCCGCGCCATAACTGCCCCCAATAAATGAAGGGTTAGAAAAAAAATTGAAATGCACACTCGACGTACTCTCTATAATCATCTATTTTCACTTTCTCAATACAGGAATTGTGTACCGTCGTATTAGCTGTTGAATTTAAAGGCGATGAGATGAGTGGCCTGAATGCTATAGGTCTATTGGTGTGTCTCGGTGGCATAACACTTCACGTCATACAAAAAATACTACTTCATAAGAAACAAATGTCTGACAATCTCGAGTTACATTCCAATTCAGTCACAAGTAATACCTCAACATTCGAAGATACGGGTGGAACAAATGTGCCATTGTTGAATGAAAAATCAACATCATTGACGAATTTGTTGAGTTCGAATTTCAGCACAGATGATGAAGATGATTTCAAGGACAAAGACAATAACAGTGATGTACTTTTTGATATATTGCAACGGAGAGAACAGTCATAGAGTTGGCTTTTATCATTCGACTAACGGATATTTATTTTGTTATCATTTTAGTAATGTGTATACGTATGTAGTTGCTTTTTGTCAATTACTCGTACCACTGTATCCATTTAAAATTATGTATAAAAGCCTTCCAATTTGTTTTTCAACGCTCGAACAGAAGCGAGAGCATTTCTTTTCTACTTTATTTACTTTTATTACTGAATTACGCACAACAGTTGATGTTTTCGAAATAGTCATCGAAGGAATTTTTGTAATTTTTCTTCAGTAATCCTCAGTGATCGTAGAATCACTTGTTCATAATTTTTATCTAATTCATTGGTCGATGCATTCAACATATGTATGTAAAATGTGTAATTAAATAAACGAAATACGTCTCTTATTCCAGTGACTTTAGCTTAACTCAATATTGAAATTGATGATTAAATATCATTGGTGGAAATAATGACGACTAATTGCAGATAAATAATGTAAGTAAACTCTTCTATGTTCATTATTATACACTAATTAATACGTTTAAATTACTCTAGCATTTTAAATTAAGGCTGATGCGTTGGGAAATAATTATGAATGACATTTGGCACTCGAGAAATGTGATGCGGGGATTTCGAGGATACAATTTTTCTTGTGCCTCTACATTAATTAATTGCAACCGTAAGGGGGAATGGGACTTTAGTCTGACTGTTTTGACGATTTTTTCTTTGATTTCGCTTCGATTCTGTCTTCTAATTTGTGGATTAGATCGTCTAGTTCGTCCTGGGGAGTAAAAATTGATTATAATTAAAGTTTATTGAAATGACAAATTTTGTAGAAACGTTTTATTGGATGTAAAGGTGCTTGAAATTTCACCTCGTTAATTTATTGATCAACTTACCTCACTATACGTATACTTCAAGGTGCAGTGTTTCAAAACCTGCTTCTTATGTGCAATTAATTGCAAAGCGTGGGGGAGACAGTATGTACTGTCGTCCAGTGAATTATTCATCAGTGAAACGAAGAGATTCATCCGACAGGTCTCACACTCAAAATCCCCATCATCCTCCTTCACCTTGGCAGCTTTCTTTCGTTTTCCGTTATCAGGCAGTGGCAATTTCTCCTTCTTCGATAAACCGTAGTATTCCAATTGCTGTCGATAGTGCAATTCTTTCTCTCTTATCTTCATCATAACTGGCAGTATCTATATGTTCAAAAATTACAAATAAATTAACGTACAAGATTAATCCATTTCTGAGAAGAATGCTTGCGAAATCGATATAATTTGAATATTAACAAATTGAAGCGAATTTTTAAAATTGATATTCCTTTAATAATAATTTCAATTTAATAATTTTATTTTACTGTTATTTTTTTTCATTTCAATTTTTAAAAATTTTATATATTTTTAAAAAATATTCCTTTCGTCTTTCACAAACGAACCTGCAATTGTTCGAATTGCAACTGACTGGGCAGCCATGTGTGTAAACGCTCAGACTGACAACCTAAGGGTCGTGGGTTCAAACCCAACCTCCAGCGATTTTTCGCATTTTTAAAAATTGACATTTCATCAATTGCTAAAAAAATTAGAAATCAAATAATTTTTTTGCCCTCGATAGCTTAGTCGGAAAAAGTCTGCAGATTAAAAGATCAAATCACATTAAATGATTATTCAATAATTAAATTAAATAGAATCATTTAATTTGTTCAAATAATTAACTCATTTATTTCTGCTGAGAAGATGATCTCACCTGTTTCAAAATATCAATATGTGACCTGGAGTCATTGATAATACTGAACATTAATCTCTCAAACGAGAACATGGAAGGTTCGCAGCTATCCTGCAGATCCTTGAAAATCTCCTCAGCATTTCCCAGCCAAGTAGTCTGGGCGAAATAAACGCTCTCCGAGACGACATACCCCGTGCAGATGCTAGAGGTAAAAGCCTTTGGGAAGACGATGATAAACTGTCCAGGCTCCTGAACAGTCCTGCAAAGAGGGACTCCATTGGAGACTAGCATTTCAGGTGGGACCATAGCAGTGTCACTCGGCAACCAGATCTTCTTATTCTTGCAGAACCTGGGGACCATCTTCGAGAGCGCCTCTCTGAAATTATCATTCAACTCATTGGGTATCCCATACCAGATTTTTTTCGCTCCAGTGTGAAGATACTCGATCCAGGGGAGCCCATGGGGGTCCCTGTACCAACAGCAAGCACTGAAGAGCATCCCCACGTGGATTGTGGGGATTGTCACCCCCATGAGTGGTCCCAGGGCTCTCAGAACTGACCCAGAATTATTTGTTAACACCTAGAAATTAACGAGAGCAAATAGTACCATGTGGGCAGTCGTTCAAAAAAGAGAATTCGGCAGAAAACAATGGAATTTTCTGTCGAATTCGATAGGTTTTTAAGATAGTGTTCCACCCACCTTCAAATTCCAAGGATGCCTGGCAAAAGGGCTATTCTTGGCCACCGAGAAGCCAAACCCCCGTCCACTAGAGTCAATACTAGCAGCATGAACACAGACATGCCTCTTCCTCTCCGACACATGCCTCCAGAAAGCACTTTCAACATCCCCTGAAGACGCCTCACTCTCATTCCCCTGATTCCTAGTATTACTCTCCCCGAACCACATCCTCTGGGTGTTCCTCGCTATCCTGTAGAACGCATTCAGGGGCATGTTCCTGCCCTTCACGATGCACTCCTCCGTGTCATCAGAGCTGTCCTCGTCCTCCTCCTCCTCATTATTGCTGGTGTCCATAGAGGACAACGAAGTTGTGGAGTCGTTGAGCCTCTCCAGAGCTTTCGTCTCCCTCTTCCTCCACTCGGTCTCCACGTCCTCGAACAGCTTCTCCCGCTCCTCAGTGCTCAACGTATCATAAGGCAGAAGATACTTGCAGTAGATGTCATCGAGCTTGGTCACCCTGTCCTGCGCGGACTTCGGGATCTTCATGCCGTCCGCCACCTTCTGCCACTTCTTCTTCTCGATGACCTCCTTCAAGCCCCCCAGACTCTGGACCGTCTGGTACAAATGGGGAAGATCCACCTCCATTCCCCCTATCCAAGGGGGCTGTGACAACGTAATCGATTGCGTAGCCAAGTATTTCTTTATCGCCATCATCTCCTTGACATTCGGGCCCCATCGATGCAGCATTCTATGGACATACTGATTGTAAGCTGTGAACCGCATGTCATCTGACACTTTACACTCAGGCTTGAAGTTCGATGGCGGCACCACTTTGCAGATCCCGTACTTCTCAGCCAGGGGACGAATCTTCTCGATGTACTCCAGGGGGTCCTGGAAGTCCTTCTCCGTTGGGTGGAAGGTGGGGGCATCTGCCAGACGAGCCTCCGATCTGTCACTCGTTATCGATGCACCAAGGGATCCGCTCTGGGTGGATGACAAGGATTCAGTCTCGTTGGATGTTGAAGTCTTCTTCGTTCTCTTCTCCTGACGTTTTTGATTCTCAGGTTTCTTCAACGAGTCTGTGGACTTCTTCTTGGCTTCTCGAGGAGCTGCCTTCGCTGTTGGCTTCTTCATCTTCTCCGGGGTCTCAAGATCAGCAGTTGTTGCTGATTTGGTTGCGGAGAGTTTTTTATCGACTTTAACTGGCGATGGGGGAGCGATCGAGGTAGATGTCGATGGCACTGGGTCCATCGACCCCTGGGGGGCTCTCGTTGTCGGCTGAACTGTTCCAATGGGTGGGCACCTGGTGACTGTTAACGGCGGTTTCGTCACCAGCTGCGCTCGCAGCAGCACTCGCTGGTTGGGACCATTTGGACCCTCTGTTCCCAGTTTGACAGCCACTCCTTGGATCAACGGCTGTCCTTGGAGCGTCGTGAATTGAGAGATGTTCCTGCCAACGTTCTCCAGGGGAATGTAAAATACCTGCGTCGTGTTGCTCTCGTCCTCGTTAGAGTTCGAGTTTTCTGTTTGAGTGGAGATCTCGTTGCTCGTGTTCTCAGGGTTCTTCTGGGCATTCTGGCGGGACTGGAGGTGGTAGAATGGATTACTCAGTCCCTGGGAGTCTGGGGAGTCGTTGAAGTTTATCTGGACTGCGATGGAGGTGGAGCAGCTGTCGTTATTCCATATCGAGGGGATGTTCTTGAAGACAGAAGTCTCCGATGGTGAGTTCAGCTGGTGGTTGAGCCCAAGGGGTTTGTCCGGACTTTTGGACGTGACAATTGGCTTTTGATTGAACTTGTCAGTCTCTGAGGGCTTCTTGGGTTCGTGTATGCTCGTCTCACTCCTGTTCTCCCTGATTTTTCTCCTGAAGGGCGTGTTAACTGGCGTTTCTGTCTCGTTCTTGAAAGCATAAACACTGCTCTCGTCCTCTGGGGAGAAGGCATTGGAGTTTGGCACCGAAAGCTTTCGTTCCTTCACCTTCGAGACGAAGGGCTTTCGCCCCAGGGACTGATTCTTCTTCTTGTCGTTGGGGGATGGGGTCGTTACAGTCTCGTTATCGCTGATCACTTTGAGACTGTTGATGTCAGACTCGTCAGGCTCTGGGACTTGGTGACTAGTCTTCTCTGGACTGTCCAAGGTTTTCACTGTTCTCCCTTTTATGATCTCTTTGATGTCAGCGTTTATCTTGTTCCTGTTCGTGGGAATGCTCGGGGTCTTTGCAGTCGCTATTCCTGTGCTCGAGAGGATGATGCTGTCTGGCTTCAGGATATTGTGATTTTTGAGACTCTGTTCAGTGCTGGTCAATTGCTTCTCAGCTATCTTCGCGATGGCAACGTTCACCGGCCTCACCAGGTGCTGGATCCTCGTGGGGATCGATAGGTGACAGGGGTTTGGGGGGTTCGGAATCTTTGGGACTGTTGGGATTATCAGTTTTGGCTTCTCTGGCTCGATGCCATACGAAAAGTTGATCACAGTCTCCATCTCAGCCTTGCTCTCCTCCTTCACCATTGAACTCTCGTTCAGCCATTTCTCTATCTGCTCGGTTGACATGTTCACTCGCTCCTTGCGACCCATCGACTGCAGGGTTGGCACGTCAAGGAAATTCTTCTCGGGGGCCTTGGGGGGAACAGGGGTCGACGTCTTCTTGATTGGAAATTGAGGGAGTTCCTTTTGGGGAAGAATTACATTGTTCTCCAGGGGAGGGGGGCCACTAGGCTTCTCAGGGTCACTCTTCACTTTGTCTTGAATTATCGGGGCAGTCTGGGCACTCCCTTTATCACAATCCTTCAGTCCCTCCAGCTTCTCATCGATCTCATCAGTTTTTCCAGGCTTTGGGGCGTCATTATTCATTTTCAGTGAACAAGGACTCGACACGTTCTTCACAGACTTCTTACTGAAACCACGAAAGGAACCCTCGTCGTCAGATCCCTTCGGGGTTATCGAGATTTTGCTCATCTTCTTGATCATTATCACAGGTTCTGGGGGAAATTTTTTGGTCACATCGCTGGATTTTGCTGGGGATCTCTTGGTCTGGAGTTTCGAGGGCTTAGACGTCTTGTTTATCCTGTTCAGGACTGCCCCCAGGGGCTCCTCATCGGACTCCCCTTCGTGCTCAGGTTTCTTCAGTAATTTCTTGGTTCTTGGCTTCTCGTCGGCGTTGGACTTCTCGTCGTCACTCTTCCGTTTGGGCTTCACCTTTCTCTTCTCTTTGAGAACGCTCACAGCTTTTGGAGCTGATTTCGTCGATTTCTCAAATTTTTGGTCTGGGGATTTGGCTGCCGACCGCAAATTACGAATCGCTGAGGATGATTTAACGACTGATGTGCTTCTTCGTGTTATTGCTCGGGTCTTCACACTCGCCTGATTGCTCTTCTCGGATTGAACAGAGTCGTTGTCGTCGCTGTCGGAGAACTTGGAGCCCTTGGCATTCCTCTTCTTGGCCGAAATTGGCCGAGTCTTGTCGTCGTCGTGACTCTTCTTGGCCACTTGGGGGCTCTTCCTCTTGTCGTTGAGGGCCTTTTTCACAGCCGAGTCTCGTCGAGCATTTGGCACCTCTGGGAAACTCTCCAGAGACATGTTGTCGTCGTTGTCCAGGTCCGGACTCACCAGCTTTCGACTGAGGATCTCCATGTAGACTGCGGCAGCCTCTTTCGTCTTCCTCGAGGGCCTCTGATTCTGGTGAGACTGCACTGGCTCTCGGTGGGATCGAGTCACTCTTCTCGCAGCGTCTGAATTGGTCTTCCCAGGGTTCTTCGTTTTGGCCACGTCTTTGGGGGTCTGTTTGCCAGCTGGGGTCCTCGATTTCATGGCTCTCTTGGGGATCGACTGATCCTCGGACTGATCCTCAGAGTCCCCACTGGATTCACTCTTCTCTTCCAGCTTCTTTTTCAGGGGCTTCTTCTTCGCTTTGGGGGACAGCTTACTCGCCTTCGTCAGCCTCTCCACAGCTCCACTGCTCCTCAAGCACAGGCTCTTCTTCTCCAAGTGCTTCAGGAAGGGGTTTGATGATAATTTTGTCGGCGACTTGAGGAGAGTTCTAGTAGCTGCTGAACGTGTCCTCATGACTGACGTCTTCAGCTTAATCTCAATTCGCTGTTTGGCTAGTCTCTGCTCTTTGTATTTCTTCTTCAAGGCTTGGACTGTCGACGTGGCTGTCTTGAATTTGTTTACAGCCACTGCTTTGTGGATTACGTTGGGGAATTTCTTCTTGGTGGTGCTTGGCACTGGGACTCCTGGGGCTGGTTTCGAGAGGGCTGGGGCCTTCGGATCTTCTCGTTCGCATTTTGAGGGCGCATTCGACGGCGGAGGGGTGCGGTGACCGCGGCGTGGGGCTTTGGTTTCTGATTTTTCTTTTTTAGATTGGTTGAAGAAGTTTAGGCTTGGCGGGAGGATCGAGGTCCCACGGAAGCAGAGGAATGTCAGGAAGTCCTCGGTGTTGGGGCGCTTGTGCGTTATCAGCTCGGTTACCAAGGCTGGCTTGGGCCTCTCCTTTTCTTTTATCAGGGGTGCCACGGGGGAGAATATCGTCGCTACTCCCTGCGCGAATTTCCTCTGGGCGTGGACTTTTGCCCTGGAAGGGGAATCGGGGAGTCAGTACTGGTCGCAGATCGGCGGCAAGCATTACTTTTAGGAATATTATGACAAGCTGCAGCTTATTATAGGAGTTTGTGGCCCGGCTGCACCAAGCCCTGCTTTCCGAATAAACCCCGGGGCCAAATTTATCCTCGGGGTCATAATTTTTTAATGAGATGGATTTGAAGAATGATTTTTTATTTATTCGGTAGAACCATTTGAATTAACACTGATTTAACTCTGGGGTTAAATTTCATTTTTTGTTCTTGGGATAAATTTGAGACACTCCCGGGTAAAATAATCCATCGAACAGCCAAATTTACTTTTTTTTCTTATTTGACGTTCTCGATACCCGGAGCTGGTGCAGCCGGACCTAGATTTATTTATCGTAATTGAAATTTGAAAATTAATATAATAATTGGTCATTCAATTTCTCAATTATTGGCTGATAAAATAATTCGGAATTTGAATATTTCAGTTGATGGTTGTTTGTAAAATAAAAAAATTGGGGAGTAATATTAATAATTGACTTATTCCGAATTTAACTGTAAGTCAAAATTTTGATTATGCCGATGTCTGGTAGGGGAGGTTGGGGTAAAATGGACACTTTTGACTTTTTTTGTAATGATAATGACAGCTTGAAATGTTGGTGAAATTCAATAATTTTTTTTTCAATGCACAGAACAGTTCTTTCCCTTAGTGATGAGCCTAAACTGAGCTCAATTGATAGATTTGTTTCGGAGTTATGAGTAATTTTAAAAAAGTCTAGTGTCCATTTTACCCCATCCTCCCCTACTGTTGACTTTTTCGGGTTTTTTAAGTGTTTTCAGGGGTTTTAAATACATTTTTCGCTCTTTTAGATGTTGAGGTTTTTGTGTTTTTAGGACAATTTTGTGTTTTTAACCGCTTTTTTATTATTTTACACATTGTTTTCACCGAATTATTTATAGAGCCTGATTAAGCTCAAATAATTAAGAGAGTTCTTATTCATCTCTCAATTTCCCATCTTCTGTTCATGGTTTGCGAAAATTTAATTATTTTTTCTTATAAGAGTGAATTGTGCGATGGATTTTAATGTCAAATAGATTTTCCAACTGAAATTTATTACTGTATTTTCGTCTTTTCCACTAAATTGATAAATCACCTGATGAACTCCCAGAGAGTTGAATAAAATATCAGCAAAAACTGGTCTTTTTGTTCTTTTTTCCAAGTGCATTCCTGTTACGACCCTCTAAATATTTCTTAAAAAATGTGGAGAAGACAGAATAGAATGGACTAATTCTCGTCGTCTCCAAATAAAAATAAAACCTACCTCTTCGGAGCAGCTGACGCAGGATCCATGAGATCCACCAGATCCCCCTCCTTCCTCTTTCGCTTATCATTTCGTCCAAGGACCATTGTCACGTTGACTCCCCCAGCCCCACTGGAAAATGGAAGGACGTCTCGATCGTCAGACAGCCCCAATGTTCATCTCATTTTTCCAAAGCCCCCAATCCACCCAACTGGAACATAAATAAAAAAATCCTCAATCACCCCTGACCCCTCGAACCCCCGGATTTCCTTGAAAATTATCGATTGCAGATGTTTCTGGGCACGCAGACCCCACGAGACACGGATTTTCAGGAAAAAAAATTAAATGCACTGGGGCAAATCGTCCGAATGCACCCCCGAGGATAACAAATATCCGCGAATGGCACTAAAATTACCTATTGGATGACAGCAATTGCCCGGGCCTCCGCAATCATGTGAATAGCTGTCCAAATATTCACTCCAGTTGTATATTATTGTGTCGTGTGTACGTGACAAACATTCACGAAGAATGGAAACAAGGGGGATGGAATTGCATTCCTGGATCGAGGTTACTAGAATAATCATTATCGAAGCCGCTTCAGCCAGGTGCGGCCAGAGGGCACGGCCCTAGGGTCCCTAGGGGCACGCGGGGGGAATTTTATTTTCCGCGAATCAGGTGGAACCGCGAATTAGCGCTCGCAAATTTGATTCAAACGAGTGGGAAGACGCGAGTCAATTTTTCAAGGGGCGAATTTTCGCTGGGGGAACGAGTGATTTTTTTCGGGGAAATTGGGGGCCCAGGGGCCGTTTACAATGGGCCTTACTCCCTCTACACTTCGCGGTCAACCCTTGACGTCGACCCTCTGGGGCGCCCGACCGCTGACGTTTCCAGTGCAGACGTACTCGTCTTCACTCCCAATCCAGGCGTCGGGAAATTAGGATCGCGTGTGAAAATAGAGTTCTGCGGGGGCGTTTAAAGGGAAAAGTGAAGATTCGGGGGGATTTCGGGGAATTTTGGGGATCTATAGGCTCTTAAAACGGAATAGAGTCTTCTAACTGATGAATTTTTTCAGCGAAAATTCATCCTATAAATAAATATAAAAAAAAAAGAAAAAATTGTTGTGGAAAAATTTGTTAATATTAAAAACGTTTGAAAGTAAAAGTTTATCGAGTTTAAATTCGAATAGAAACTTCACTGAATTTAATAATTACTCTAATTAATAACTATTCTGATTAATTTAATAATTATTCTACTAGTTGCATAAAAAAATGTCTTGTTGCAGGTGGAGAATGTCTGCTGACCCTCGAGACAATAAAAGCCCTGAAGTTGCGCACACTATTCGCGAGTTACTGTGCATTCCACCCCTTTCTCAAGGAGATTCACGATGTTCTGCAGAAACGACCCAATCGCATTCCCCTGAAGCTCATGCTCCCGTCCCTCTCGAAAAAGTGGAGGGAGAGCAAATTCTCCAGTTTGATAACACTTCATTCCCCTGATGACCTCAATATCATGAGGTGTATTATGGAAGAGGGAAAAAATGAAATCAATTTGTAAATGAACTTGGGGGCAAGTCGGGTAAAATGGACATTTGTGACTGAATTGTTCATTGAATGCAATAATTTTTTCTTCAATCTATTTCGGATATATGTATTTGTAAATAAATTCATGTTATAACATTTTTTTCAGTGTTTTCTTTCATTTTATGTTGATGTTAAAATGAAATAGAAGAAATAAAAACTAAAAAAAGATGAAATAAAAAATCTCAAATTCTCCAATTAATTAATTCATTCCACCGTCAGAAAAAAGTGTGAAAATGTAAATTTTGAAATAGTTAATATCTCTTGATAAAATGGCATTATTTAAATTAATCATATCTCGAATTAAAAATTGAAGAAAAACTCAAAACAAATTGTTGCCCTCGAACATTTGAAATTCAAAATTTCGAGGGTCGGGAATGTAGATCCTACTCTGTCGGTCAACCTCTGATTTCCTACTGTACCATCACTTCAACTTTTTTCGCACCTATTGATCCCCTGCGTTCTTGGTGCTGTCTTTTTATTACTTTTTGACCACGATTGTTCCTCCGTCGGCGTTATTCAACATTCATCATATTGTTTGACAGAATAAATCACGTGTCAATAGTGTACCTGGTGCTGGGCATGCAAGTGTCTCCCGTCAAAAACAATTGAACTGACATTATGGCTGATTCCTCGTACGAGAAGGGACTGAGTGAGTTATCGAAAATGAAGGTTAGTTTCGTCTTTGAACCTTTTGATTTTCTTGCAGGACACAATAACCCCTCGATTTTATTCTCGATCGATGGACATTTTTCATCCATCTGTCACTTAGCTGCACAATTATTTACAAGTCACCATCCATTCTATTTATTTTATTTATTCGTCTATTATTTTATTTCACTTATTGAAGTGAGGGAAGATGAGGTAAAGAGATAATCTTAAATCATCAATACCTTCTGACCTAACGATGCAATTAGGGCGAATCAAGGCTCATTTTAAAGATTGAAAAAATACCTCCAAAACGAAGGAAAAATTATCAAATTCGACTCTGCCGATCGTGAGTTATTGATGATTGAAAATGGCTCACTTTGCCCTCTTTTCCCCCTCAAAAATGAAGTGCATGTAATAAAGATTATTCGTATTGAGTGCAGGTCGCCGATTTGAAAGCTGAATTGAAGCAACGCGGACTGCCTACCACTGGCAATAAGACCGAGCTCGTCGAGAGGCTTCAACTTGCCATTCATGGTGGTGAATATTGTTTGATTTCTCCTTTATTTCTACGTTCTCTTCACTTCCTCTTGAGGGAGAGGGGTTGAATGGACCGATAATTCGAGAGTGGCTGAGGGAATTTGGAAGATTTTTTTTTCATTTCGAAGGGATTTTTCTGGGCTTTTTAGAATGAAATCTGAATTATGCAAATCGTGCCATTGCTTCAGGAGATATTGATGACTGAAGAAGGTTCATTTTACCTGATCTTCCTTTGTCTCTCTTTCTTTTATCAATTTTAAGAGATTTTCTTTGTTTTTTTTTATTTATGTGAATATTGTATTTTTCAGACGCGAGTCTATCTCTAGATGAAACCACTGATGAAATCCTGGACGAGGATGCAGTGCTTGGAGTAAGTGAACATGTTAAATCCATCGGTTACTGATGAATTAAAATTCTCTAAATCTCATTTTGGAAAATAATGAGTAGGGGAGGATAGCGTAAAATGGACACTTTTGACTTTTTAAAAAATATTCATAACTTAGAAACAGATTTATCAATTGGGCTCAGTCTAAGCTCATCACAAAGAGGAATCATTGTTTTTCAATTGAAAAATAAAATTATTTCATTTCATGAACAATTCAACACGTCATAAATATTTTAAAAAAAGTCAAGTGTCTGTTTTACCCTACCCTCCCCTGATTTCGTTTTAAAAAGTTTTCTGCTGATTTATGTGAATTATTTTCGTGAACAGGACGAGGAAATTGAGGAATTGTCGACGAAACCGGACTCCCAAGACGTTGGAGAGAAGAGGAAATCGACTGAGGACAGCAGTCCCATTCAGGCTAAGAAAATAATTCTGAACAGAAATCCTGTTATTGAGGAGGTGAAGGTGGACGAGCCCGAGGAGAAGGAGGAAAAGTCTGAGGGAGCTGATGACAGTGGACCAGCTAAGAAAGTTATCAAGCTCTCGGAGCTGGGGGTCAAGGAGCGTTTAGAGATGAGAGCCAAAAAGTTTGGGGTGCCTCTCTCAGACACTGCTAAGAAGGAGGTTAGGTCTGCCAGGTTCAACAGTGAAAATCAGAGCAATGGAAAGTCCTCTGCGTCGATAAAAACTCCAGTTGTCAGTATTTACAAGACATTATTTTGGAAAGCCATTCATTACACTTTAACTTAATTCAGTTTAATTTTAATTTAATTTAATTTTTGATATTTCTTTTAGAATACTTCTTACGAGGTCTTGAAGAAGAGAGCTGAAAGATTTGGAACTAATGCCTCTGGTCTCATGGAAAAGGTGGGGAATAAAAGATTCTTTACATTTTTGAATGAAGAAAAATGGATAAAAAATTGAGAAAAATGACTTTAATGTTTTTATTGCAGGCTGAACTCGAAGCGAGAATAGAAAAACGTAAAGCTCGCTTTGGTGAAGTGAAACCAATAGAGAAAACATTCCCCAACAGAGTAAAAATTGTCAAATGATATTCCATACTCTATACCAAAAAAGTGAACTTAGACCCCTAGCTGTAAACCTTTGTTTCTCCACTGAAAAAAATTCATCAAGAATCAAAAGACATCAAATTAAGTGTCGCATTTCACCCACAACTTAGTAATGATGGTAAAGTACATTTACAAAAGTTGACGTTTCATTTATGATTATTTTACGGATTAATGGGATGATGAATTAATACACAATTTTTACGCAAAAAATTAATTTGTTTATTTCATTTTCTAGATATAATCAGGCTTTCGTTTCATAAATATTGTGTGTACAAACGAAAAAACTGTCTACGAGGCCAAATATTTTATTTTTCTTTTCCATGAATTGAGTGTTTTGAGATAGAAAAAAAATTAAAATATAAAAAAGATTATTGTATCGTCTTGCCAGAGCCAATTACATTAATAACAACTCCATTTAAAATCGCATCTCCCAGAGACAAACGAAAAATAGCTGTGCGTGTTTTTTTTTCAAAAAGGGTGGCCCTATGTAATGAATTGCATTCGTTGAAAAAAGAGAAACGAAAAAATAATTAATCACGAGTGTGTAAATAAAAAGTCATTACTCCTCGCACTTAATTCTTAATTTTTTACTGGTTAAAAGAGATAATGAATTAATACACAATTTTTACGGAAAAAATTAATTTGTTTATTTCATTTTCTAGATATAATCAGGCTTTCTTTTCATAAATATTATGTATACAAACGAGAAAACGGTCTACGAGACCAAGTATTTTATTTTTCATGTCGATAAATTGTATACTTTGAGATAGAAAAAGAATTAAAACATAAAAAAAACAGATCATTGTATCGTGTGTCAGAGCCAATTACATTGATAACAACTCCATTAAAAATCGCAACCCCCAGAGAACAAAAAATAATTATGCATGTGTTTGTTTTTCTCAAACAGGATAACCCTACGTAATAAATTGCATTCGTTGAAAAGGAGAAACGAAAAAAATAATTAATCACGAGTGTGTAAATAAAAAAAATCACTAATCCTCGAGCTTCACATTTCCAGCCTCGAATCATTCCCCATGATTAACTTAAAGCTTCATAAAAAATCTAATTTAAAGGACATTTATCACATTTTCCATTCGTCGTGAATGAAATAAAATTTTTTATCATGACCGGCATTCCTCACAATAAGTTCATCAACCATTTTCTTTTTCTACCCGCGAATTAATTTATAATTCATTCTTTAAGTTAAATTCTTGCATCGACTGAATGTCGAATTGAATATTTCACGACCATACGAGAGCCTTGAGGTACTGAATACATTATTGAAAGGCAACATCATGAATTTCCAATTGAAACAAGAAAATATAATCCCCCTCTCGTTTTTTTCCTTCATCATACTTGTGCCGAGATTCCAGAAGGAGAAATAATCGTACAATTATCTCGATATTATCGATTGGAAATGAAAAGCGAAATATCGTAATACTAAGTGTAATCCAATCACAATGGCAACACTAACTTGCCCATTACCTTTTGAATTATTCTCACATTATTTCCTTCAATTACGTAAAGAGTCGAAGCAAATTCCCTAGGCTTTACTGCAAATTTTCCCCATTTTCGTGCACAAACTTCCTCCGGTATCAAATAAAGTTGTCATGTATCATTTCCCAATCCCCAAAGTAAACTAACAGTGCTCTTAATTCACAATTTTCAAAATTTTCACCTCTATCAACACGTTCTATCATTGATTGTATTATTTTCTCCATTTTTTGTTTCTTACTTAAAAAATTAATAAGCCTTTGCTCCGCATTACAACTGTTACATTGCCTCTACTCGAATACTTTTTCTTTTATCTATGCGAATTATTGTTGTCTTAACGCATTAAGGGACAGAAAATACCAGAAATTAAGGAGAGGATCAGCGCCTGCTGAAGAACACGTGTGAGAATTTAAAGGGTTTATTAACAACTACTTGGGCCTCAGGCTACCCACTGGTGTGGGCAGAGTGAAATTATTTGTCGTTGACAGGGTGGGGGTTGATGCGAACGACGCTGACTCGGGGAGACCCGTGCTTACACTGTTTGTTTCACTCTTGTAGCGAATGTTTGTGTATTCACGACCCAATTGGAGTGATTTCTGCAATTCGTACAATTTCTATTATTTAAAATATGCGAAGAAAAATATTTCAAGTTCACAGAAATCATTAAAAATTTTACCTTGTGATAATTTTTTTATTAAGCATGACTTTTTTTTCATAATTGAACAAGACAAATGCATGACAGTTCAAGGTGTTTCGATTTTTTCTTGAATCTCATTCAGAATAAAAAACTACACGAATTGTTTTATTCGTTTTTTTCTTCTAAAGAAAAAAGTAATAATCAGAATTGAAATTCAGTAAATGCATTGATTTATCAAATTGGGAATGAGTTAAGAATGAAGATTAGACACGTAGTTTATTATTAAAAATAACAAATATGAAACAAACTATGGACGATTGAAAATATTGACTGCAGCTTCTTCATTCTTTATATTTTGTTGGATAAAAAAATCATGCAAAATGTCAAGAATTCTCTCAATAAGGCAAAAGTGGGACGAACCTGCTCAGCTTGTCTTCTCTGTGACACAGTCTCAATATAATGCAGTACAGCAAGATAAACGAATTTATATTGTGCCTCGGTCTGCACCATCCCCGACCTCTGAGATCTGACTCTCTGAATGGTTCGTTGAATGTCAATTTCGCAGTCCAGTCCTGAGAAGGCACGAATCAATAGTTAAATTAATTCATTAAAAATTAAATTGACAAATTGATCATTGTTCAATATATGTGAATACCATGACGTTTAATCTGATCCAAGATCATATCAATGACGATGAATGTGCCAGTTCTGCCGATGCCAGCACTGCAGTGAACGAGAATTGGCCCCACACTGGACAGTGATTGCCCACTGGAGCTCAAGGCAGCGGCGATGGACTCCTGTCTCGCATTGACATCATGCAGGAAGTTGAGAACGCAGCCGGGATCCGAGGGCACTCCGTGATCCGGCCATGCCTATGAATATTCATTTATCCAGTGAGCAAGGGGCTTGATATTCTAATGAGATATGTGATAACTCGCAATGATTTACGTACTTGGAAGTGGTAGTGATAAATTCTACGTGGCTCTCCGAAATTTGGCTTATTTCCTTGCAGTAAAAATTCACGTAACGTGTAATCAGCTGTGGATGTACGTGCTAGCGCACGTACTTTCCATTCACCTCCGTATTCACTCACTTCACCCTCTTCTGGCCAATAACGAGCGCACTTATTCTGCGAATTAAAATAATGACGGATTTTTTTACGGAGAGCTTTGGATTTAATACTCTTTGCGATTCGAGTGATGGAGTATATTTGGGGAACTTCAGGAATTTAAAGTAGTTCTACCCTTACGGTAAATTCAAAGACTATTGAAAACTTTTTTTTTCAATTGAATTATCGTTTTGGTTTTTCAAAGAAGAAATGTTTAAAAATCAGGATTTAACCCAGTGTCTTATGTGAAAATCGACATTTCCATTGTAATCAAAGATTAAAATCTGATTTTTTTTTCATTAGATGCCCAAAAATCAAGAATTATTTGATACCTCATAAAGAATAATCCATCGTTTTGCAAACAAGTTTTATTATTTATTTATAAGAGGAAAATGTCTGAAAAAATATCAATATTTTGCGAAATTTAATTTAGATAATACTGACTGGGTATGAATTTTTTCAAATTATTTCCATGCAATTTAGTTGAAAAATGAAAAAACTGAAAATATCCAAAAGTACAGCGTAGCCCGGCCGAAGGGTAGAGCTACTTTAATTGCAATTTTTTGCAGTGTGATTATTCACGAATTTTTCCCAAATTTTTTAAACAATTGAATTCACTTAATTGATTCAATCATAATTTTCCCGAAGTCAGGGGTTGTGCCAGTCGATAACGACACTCTCTTCATGCCCTGGAATGTTGTTATTGCGGTTTATACAACAGCTCACGCAGGTCTGATGATATTCATATTCAGAAAAACAGCAAGAATGTGTTTTATACTACGATAGAGACTCGGTTATTTACGTGAGCGATGGAACTAACGAATTACCGCTGTGGAATTTTCTTGGGGACTTGACAGATGAAGCAGAGGAGATGGAGTAGAGGGTTACGAAGAAGGGGGCTTCATCATCACCTCGCAAAAAGTGCACTCTTAATGGAAAATAATTCACGGAGAGGAAATCTAAAGTTTACCTTCCCCCGTTCCATTTCTTTGGTGGTCATAACAATAACTTGTATATTTTCCTGATAGACCATGTGCCAAAAGTCTTGTACTGTATTTGGTAAACAGCCTTGTGTTGCAATATAACATTTATTGAATATGCAAGTATCACCACTGGCCGTAATACCGGTGCATGAACCCTCTCCCTCCTCATTCTGAAAGCATGAAAAATTCATTGAAACCCACAATAATGCGCATAACAACGGGTAACATAACGCTAATGCACTATCTCTTTCACCTTTATGTAATTAGCATTAATATAATCCGCTCCTGCTACGTTGGGATCCACGTCCTTCAGTTTTACTCTCGTGTGATCGACTAAATACACACAATTATAAATTCATTAAAGATGCATCAGTCTCGGGATTGAATAAACATCGATATTAATTGCGGAGTTAATTGGAAAAATCCACTCACAGGGAAGAATATTCTTGTATCGATTTTTGGCCCTGTTCTCCGGTCTAAGTCCCTCCTTGCGCGAGAACAGGTGTCGACATTCTAATTGCTGAAGTGATTCGAACTCTTCCCAAAAGCCAGCCTTTCCTTTACCACGACCAGAGCCAGTCTCATCACCATCGGGCCCACCATTCCAACACGTCCAGCCATTGGAGCATCCGTTCTCTTTGTGAAGTTGTCTTACACGACTCTCAATGCCACTTGCGTTTATTCGTGTGGCATTGAATGGTTGTCTGAGGAATTTTCGAAATTATTCCTCAAGTTAACAAGAATAATAAGTCACTACTGATCAATTTTTTAAATTAACAAGCATTTTTTCTGAATATTTTCTAATCCAAGAGAATATGCAGCAGCAAAAATTTCAAATTCAGAGTGATTCATTTCGTTTCATCAATTAGCTTCTGAAAGAATTCCTGTAATTAGTTGTTCAGGCATCGAAATGATCTCACCTCAGATGAACAACACTCCCACTGGTCTCCACCATCGGATTTCTCTTGTAATGCTCAATAAGATCACTCAGACTGTCAAACTTCTCCCCTCCCCCGACATCGTACTTATTGTCCTGATAACAACGGAGAATGCAATAATGTTGTGTGAGTGAATGAGGCACATTATGCATACAGCTGTTGCAAATCAATGAGGAATCTTTACCTGGGAGCGAATCATTACGTGAGTCACGCGATCGTCAGTTCTCACTGAGAGTACAAAGTCTCCTGGTTTGCTCTGGGATTCGCGCACCAGAAATGATCCGTTCTTTCCTCTCTCGAGCATCAAACGTTCAGCCTCTTTGGCTGACAAATGCCCGTGGAACCAACGCTCAGTCGTTGGATCAGCACAATTCAGGGGATATTTCAATTCAATGACTTCGCCATTTTTCTCACGCAATTGTCCACCATTTTCCATATAAAATTGCACTAATTCTGACAGTGTTGCGAATTTTTCACCACCATACAAATCATAAAAATCACCAGTATTCTGTATTTTTATATGCGTTACTTCACTGTTTCTCCTATTATTACAAATTCATAAGGAAAAAAAATTATTTTCATTTTTTTATCGTCATTAGATTAAAAGGAGATTGTCAAGTGGTAAACGAAGACGGGGATGTCAGAGAATGCAACTTTATGGATTTTACGTAATTTTAAGAACAATAGAAGGCGCTCGTCCAAATACTCGTTCGAACGAAGTAATTTAGAGATTTGAAATGCATGTTATTTTACAAATATCTTTAGAAGGAGGAGGTCTCGAAGAATTTATCAAAATGATCATTTTTTGGGAAGAATTTTAAGTACAATTTTCTATTAATTTCCTTTCTACGGATTTTGTTTGCTCTCCAGAATTAATTGTGAGGTATATAATTGGCTGAATTTACTAGGTACATAATCTCATGTTTCGAAGAATTTATCATGCCCAGTGGTTAAAGGCTCAGACTCAAGGGTCGTGTGTTCAAACCCGGTCTCCGGCGATTTTTTATATTCCCTCAAATTGATATTCCCTTTACATTTCGTCATGTACCATGCTCAGTATTTAGCCAAGTGTGCAACGGCTCAGACTGGAAACCTAAGGGTCGTGGGTTCGAACCCGACCTCCGGCGATTTTTCATTTTTTCTCGAATTGATATTCTCATTACTCTGTTCACAAATGGCGAGTAAAATAATTTTTTGTAGAAAAAGTAGAATTGATTTTGAAAAATGTGTGACATTTTTTATAAATCCACCAGTTCCCAAGACATTCATAAAATAATCTGTAAAAAATGTTGCAAATTATCTCCTTTTATCACTTGACCACAGCCACATCTCCATGAATTTACTCCATTCACCACAAATTTAATTTCCCCACTCAATGTTCTTCATTATACAAAATTATTTGAGTGCAATAGAGTGATAATTCCAGTGCATTTGCATCAAAACTCCGCATCGAGTAATTCGAAAGGATTGATACAGTGGAAAGTGAAAGAAGTTTTCACCGAAAAACTATAATTAACCACTTTCATTATTTCTCTATTCCTCGAATACCTCCAGACGAATGAATCCTACCTCACAGAGAGTGTGAAATCCCCAGGATTAGACGAGCTTGGACGTGCCAGGAATGAACTGTCATATCCACGTTCCATCAATAATTTCTCGGCCTCTAGTCCTGATATGTTCGGATGAAACCATCTGCAATGATCAATGAAAAAAATCCACAAATTGCCTATTGTCCCTCATTTCACCAAATACACTATTGTAACACTGTCGTAACTGCCGCGCCCCACGACTAAAATGTTTTATTGACAAAACGTCTCTTCATATGGATATGGTAAGGGAATCACCAAATACGGTTTTATTATCTAGCTCAATGTCAAACTAGGATAATCGATGAATTTCGGATTCAATCGGCTGTTGTTCGATCAGTCCTTCGTTTGCGGTGACTGAAGGATCGTTTGGGAGTTTTAAATCACTCCAATTGTATTTTCATCGGGGATTAATTTGTCGTAACGAGCGTAAGTGCGCAGAACTTGACGTAAAAACCGAACAAGTCTACACCGCGAGCACCTTGCAGAGACTATTCGCGCAGTGTCCGTGAGTCTATGATCATTACATGCTTCTCAGAGGTAAAAAAACCAAGAGGAGGAGAAAAAATTCACATTTTTTTTCACCTCCCTCTCGGACCACGATTTACGAGAAGATGAGAAATTAAGGGGGATTGCTCACCTGCGTGATGCCATGTCGTGATTGGAGTTACGACCACCTGGCAATCAATAATTCGTAATTTATCATCAGTCCCCGTTGTCCCTCGGGTGGAAACGTGAGATTGATATTCCTGGGCCGATGGGAGGCGGGTTATTGTCACCCAAAGCCGCGCCACTGAGACGACATTTTTCTTCTTTTGGATTTTTTGTTATCGGTTTTGCGGTTTATTTTAGCTGATCCCGAGGGCTTGCGGGCTTTCGGGTTTAACTCGGTCTCGCGATCCGAAAGACTCGAAAAAACGGAGCGGAGAAGCAGAAATGGTGGTGACTGCTCCGCGGGCATTGAATTTGTGCAGACGCGTCGACGTGTCTCTTTTTTAGGATCAGGCTTTACGGGATTCGCTCAAGTCCAGACGCTACTTGAGGATTTCAGCGATATTTGAATTTCATATCGGATAAAACAAAAACGAGTGGGGCAAAATGGGCGCTTGAATTTTCTTAAAATGTTTGTGACTCGTTAAATTTTTAAAACACGGGATTTTTTTTACTCCAGTGAAGACTTTTTTGGAATGCTAAGAGGCCTTAGGAGTAGAAGAAATACTGAAATGGGAGGAAATTTTTGTGCCGTGAATTCTTCGTCAAAAATGGATGGAGAAATGTGGAAGATGGCTTAGAACAATTGTTCATTTTTGTAGAGAAGGATGAAGCGAGGTGCAGGTGATCTGGAGAGAATAAACAATTCTAAAAAGTGTTTGAAAACACGAGGTGGAGGCGCCGCCATCTTTAAAGGGGTATCGGAGCAAAATGGCGACGGCCACTGTCACCTCGTATGATCAAACATTTCTTAAAGTTATTTATTTTCGTCAGATCACCTTCAACTCATTTCAAAATTTTTCCTCGTATTCAGGTAGTTTTTTTTACTTCCAAAGCTTTTGTTAATGACCTAATTTTAATTTTTTTTTCCATGAAAAGGGAAATTCTTCGCCTGAGCGGAAATCGAAACTTCCATGACTAAAAAATTCCCCATCTCTACCGCATCGAAAACTCAGGGATCAATAAAAATAATGAAGAATCTGAATGCTGGCAATTTGTTATTTATTTAAACGTTTTTTTCTTCATTTTTTTTTCTTGAGAACATCTTAAAGAACTAAGCGAACATGTTTTTTTTCACACCGAGCGTGATAGTAGGCTAATAGCAGGGGGGAGAAATTCGTAGTTGATATTTTTTTTGGAAGATACATAGGTAATTCGTAAAAACGATTCGAACGCAATGAATCAATAATAAAAGTGAACAAGGGGGAGGAAAGAACAAAGGAGTGATTAAACACAAATGTACAAACAAAATACAATACGGTACATATTTCACATATTATCTCGTCATTCCCTCATGCTCCGTCACGTGCAACGGCGATGAGCACGATTTTCACTCTTTTTTTTAAATATAGATTTTTTATTATTTACGAACTTGGCGCATTCCAACTACTTCCTCCGTGATAAATTGTACATTTTACTCGACTTACATTCTAAAACGCCGCGGGTTTTGTATCAAATCTCTCCGTATTCCCCATATTTTGAAATTTTTCTCGTGATAAATGAACGTAATGTCCTCCGTGAAAAAACAAAATCAGGTGGCACGAATATTCCTACGTACAACTGGAAAAAAAATAACACTCAAAACTTGAGAATATTTGTTTTGATGAGCGACATAATTCTTGATTTCATTCATTAAAATGTTTTCATTGGCCTTTGGACGAAGAGGTGTGGCTGGAAAAATTGCAATGCTTAACCATTTTTAATCGATCAATATCAATGTTTATTGTCTCATTAAATTCAGTGGAAAGTGGATTTTTATTCATCTGTTCAGTTATATCTCTGAATCTGTGAGAGATGCAGTATTTTTTGAAAAAACGATTTCTAGAAAAAAGGTCATCTCTTGTGGATTTAAAGATATTCAACAAAAACCAATGAATGAAAAACCGATAAATTTCGTTTTATCAGTCCACCATTGAGTTAATAGAGAATGAATAATGAGTGGATTGTTCAAATGTTGAGAGGCTGCTGGGAAAATTGCAATGCTTAATCATGTTTAATCAATCAATATCAATGATTATCGACTCACTGAATTCAGTGGGAACACGTAAAATTGAATAATTCTATTAGTATTCACTTGATTGATAAATTTCAGAATACTCTTCTTGATAGAAATATCTGAATCCAAGAGAGATGAATCAATTTTTGTAAGAAAGATTTCCGCAAAAAATGTCCTATCTCTTATGCATTCAAACAAATTCACAGAAAAATTGAGTAATTTAAAAAAAAAATTCATTTCATTACTTCCCCACTGAATTAATCAAAAATAAATATTCTCAGATAGCAATAATTCACGTGTGAATACGTTCGGAATAATCGCACGTGTGCCTACACCCCCAACCACGTTTGTTAAATCGATGTACATTAATACGTTTCTCAATCAAAAGTTTAATGCGCGCACGTGTGTCTATGTCCTCATTTTTTTTATATATATTTTCTCTTTTTTTACTTTTTTTTTACTTTTTTTGAAATGCGTGTTTTCTTATCATTCACTTTGTATTATCATTCTTTTAGATTTTTTTTTAATATAATAAAGTTATTAATTTGTTTCATTTTTTCCCTAATCTTTGTTGATTAGCTGTTGTTGCCCTGTGAAAACTGCCTTCTGTCACAACACAATAATACTTGCGTGGTGTTTCATTAATTATTTCATCATTTTCCCATTAGTTTCAACATCGCTGAATTCAGCCAATTCTCAATTCGTTCAATACACCAGCAATTGTCGCCGTATTTTATCTTTTTTTTTTCGTTATCACTATCGTGTCATCACTTTGTTTCACCTATCAAACGATGAGAGAGTGCGTAACTCGTTCATTCATTGAATTCAGTAATTCGTTTAAATCAAAATTCAAAAGTCTAGATCATTTTATCATTAAAAAAAAAAGTAGATAATACTCGTTAATCTTGCCCGCAAATTTGTCAAATGAAAGGGAAGAGTCGACGTTTTGGAAATTTTGGGTTCAAACGAATTCACCGAGGTCTGACGGTGGTACAATTACGACTGTGTGTGTATTTTTTTTTTCAACTTTTTTTCCTGTATTTAGACGTTTGTGTTATTCATTACTCGTTGCATTGGTGAAAATTACTGTTGCGCCTGCGGTTTGTTGCTGCGTGGTGCGTATCCTCCACGATTGCCTCCTCTCTGACCACGAAATTGTCCCCCACGGCCTCGATCCATTCCCGTGCGTTCGCCGGCCCTTGGGCCACCTCGAGAGCCACCAGTTCCTCCTCCTGTGCCGCCACCACCACCAGCACGCTTGAAGTTGCCGTTGTAACCGCCGGTGTTACCGTCATTGTGGTAATTCCGTTGGTAACCGTTTTGGTAGTTGTTCTCGTGTCGGTAGTAGTTGGCTGGAATTAATTTTTTATTTCAATTTTTCAACGTTTTCGAATGAATTTTTTTTTCATTTATTCATGCCAAAATTGGGGAGTTTTACGGAATTTATTTGAAATTTCGTCAATAATCAGTCACACTTTGATGAAGAATTCACCGACACTGTAAATTTCAAGTCAATTATTCTACCCTCACATTTTCAACGTGTGAAGAATGTTTCAAAAATATCTAGAGAAAAAATCATTGATTTTATTTCATAAATAAAATAATGAAATAAATAAAATAATGAAATGAATAAAACAGCGTAATCTCTATAAAAAAAATTGATGGAAATCAGGAGAATTTTTGTTAATTAACCAATTAGCTTGGGGTACAATTCATCGCATGTAAATCCTCTCGGGTTTTTACATAAAAAAAAAATTGGAAGATGTTGAAAATGATTCTTGAAGAATAAAATCATTAAAAATGTTTAAACAAATGTATTCACTTGGAGAAGGCATGAGAGTCATGGGAAACAACTCATCACGCGGCAAATGTGAACCCCTTCATCTCCGAATCTTTCTTACGTCGATTTCAGAAAATGAAAATCAACATTTGTATAAATTCGTTAATAATCAAATTATTTCTCCCCAAATTTCAGGGATTAGTTGATGAGAGAATCTGTTTTGATGGTTTTAAATTTATAAAAATGACAAATACAGTCCCAACGAATCCCTCCAGCGCTAAATTAAACAGTTCAGCAACAGTGAAATCGTTACCTTGACCAGATCCGCGTCCATTCTGCTGATAACCGCCATTTGATCCCCTTCCCCTGCCATTGTAACCATTGGAATTGCCTCGTCTTCCCCCACGACCTCGGTAACCACTTCGCTGCTCACCCCACGCCTGCTGACCACTCTGCGACTCCTGCTGGCCTGATTGTTGTTGGTCAACGTCCGCTGAATTCCACTCATTCATCGGAGTGTTGTCGGTCATCTGGCACCAGTCCACCGTTTCGTTCGGGCGTTCCACATCTGCTGTCACAACTGATGGATCTTCCTGGCGTTGCTCACCCTTATCCTTCATTCAAAAAAATTAATTTGTAAATTTACAATTGTTTAAAAACATTTTTAACGTGTGCACAATGTTTGAAAAATATTTAGAGGCGAAATTATCAATTTTATTTCGTAAATGAAATAAAATAAATTTTATTTTATTTCATAAATAAAATAAATTGAGTAAATTAAATAATAAAATGAATCAAATAGGATAATCTCTATGGAATGTCAGAGGTAATTCTCTTCTTCTCCAATTAAATTCCTTCAATATCAATTAAATGATATCAGGTAAAAATATTAAGATGAACTCACCTCTCCAGGAATTTGTGCCTCAGCCTCACTGACCCCCTCATACCCCTGGATCCCCTGTCCCTGATATCCAGCTGGATGCTGTGGACTGTACTGCATACTCCCCTGATGTGACGGTGGCATAGGTATAGGCGGTGGTGGATTTGGATTGGCAAATCCAGGAATGTGACTGATGTCCTGCGGTGGATGAGAATAAATCACCTGCTGTGGCACTTGCACTGGTGCCCCACTGAAGCTCTGATTGGTGAATGTCTGGGTGGGTATGGGTGCATTGACTGGTGGAATGTGTGTTACAATGGGCTGTTGACTGCTCACCTCAGGTGCATCGAGTTCAGACTCCTGTAGGAAAAAGAAATTTGGGGTACCACCGATGACGTCGTTGATGCGAGGTGGTTGAGCTTGTGCTGGTGGCTGTGTTTGGCTCTGGGGTGGCACGAATGCCCCTGTATTTCCGTAGTAATTTGCATCCACTGGGGCTGGATGGGGGGGAATGGCCTGAGGAACAACTGGAATTGGTCCTGGGGCTGTTGCAACTGGCACTGGTGTCACTTGAACTGGAAAATTGGGCATTGGGATCATTGATTCGGGGGGTGGAATGTGTACATCGCCTGTTGTGTAGTCATCAGTCGTCTCTGGTGCATCATTGACTCGTAGTTCAGATACAGTTTCAGTTGTCACTTCAATCGTCGTCTCAGTTTCCTGCACTGGCGCCTGGTCGAAGTAACCACATTGATTCACTGATGTTATTATCTCCTTCAGCTTCAGGTAGGTTGTACCCACGAATTCTCTCTGTTTACCCTCGATTATCGCGATGTAGTGCTCGGCCGCTTTCTGGAGTTGCTGGGGGAACGGTGTGTCCGGGGTTTCTGGGTGACGTTTTGCTGTTATCTCGTTGTAGAGGTCGTCCAGGAACTTTAGGTCTTCCTCGGTCAGCTTTGTCGCACCGTTACTGCCCGAGAGGAAATCCTCACGGGCTACTTCAGCACCGATGTTGTTCAGGATGTCTTGGATTAGGAGAACCTCTCGAACCTGGAGGTTTTATTGATTTTAAGGATTAAGTTAGATTAGTCTTTTTTAATTGTGAGGAATATTGTTGATGTACACAGGAGACATTTGTTGTATATTGAATTCAAAGGATAAATCGATATTCTTTTCAAAATTGTCAAGAAACCTTTGATGTATTTGATCATATTCTCAATAGGGATGGCTTCTTGATCTTCTTTGATCAACCCACTAGTTTCTGAGATATTCGTGGAAGATTTATTGAATTTGTTGATGATTGTATTCACTTGGAGAAGGCGTGGGAGTCATGGCGAGCACACACGCGGCAAAGGTGAACTTTCTCTCTCGAACCTTTGTTTCATTGATTTCATTTAATGAAAATCAATGTCTTTTCAGATTCGACGGTCACGTGACAAAAAGACCTGAGGCTTTGATGTTTTAAAGATCTTCGAAATAATGAAGTTTAGACAGAAATCTCTACCAAAAATGCTTGAATATATTCACAACCTAATTTTCGAAATTCATTTAAAAATCGTTAATCAATTCTATGACTTGTAAATTAATAAATCCACTTCTACAATTTTTTTTAATGAAACTACTTCAATTTAAAAAATAACCAAACGATATTCGCGTAATAAATTTCCAAGTTTCAAACGATGGCGTCACAACAAAATTTGAACTGAATTGAAAAAAAGATTAGTTTCACTAATTGCAAAATGATAAATTCACTTTCACAATTTTTTTTTCAGTTGAATCTCTTAGTTTACAAAAAAAAATCATTGGTTATCACAGACCTTGGCAATATCCTGCTGCGTCCTCTCCAAAGCCTCCTTCCTCGCGAGTTTTTTCTGCTGTTTAACAGAGTCATTTGCAATTCCAACAATCGCCTTGTACAAATCCCTCGTGATGTCCAGTGTCTGTAGAACCTCATCATACTTAGCGACAGCTGTTTTCTGGTCCTTGTCCAGCTCCCTGCCGCTCTTCTGGAGATCCCTGTACCCCTCTAGCTTACCCTGCAAATCCAAATATTGCGTCACCCGAAGACCCGGCCAATTCCCCCATTTTCCTCGTAAAAATCCCGCTGCGTTGAAAAAAAAATAAAACAAGTTTGCGATATCGACGAGCCTCGATGACTAATCGTCTCTTCCGAGAAAAGACAACCGCGTTAAACTCCGACTAAACCATTGTTCTTCTCCCCACGGCCTCCAACAATAGAAATAAACAGAAGGGAAAATATTATTGTAAAAAAATCTAGGATCGCCCGTAATATTAGAAGATATTTATATTTTTTTCATTTTTCTGAGCATTTGAAGTTGGGAAATTAATGAAATGATCAATAATCTCAGTTGTCGATTAATTATTAAGTGAATATTATTCTAATTTTAGGGAGTTTAATTGGATTTTCGATTCAAGAAATAATCAGCAAATTCACTACCTCAATTATTGATTGATGAAATAATTTTTTGATGTTTGATTATTGATTGTTAAATAACTGAAATTTGTTTCATATTATTCATTGATTATTGTAGCAAAATAACGGTATTTACAATTTTCGTTCTTGGCGAGATTGAAAATAATTGATGGAATAATTAAATTAAACGAAATCAATAACTGGAATAAAATGTCAGGAATGGGAGACTGTGAATGGCACCAGTATATTATTTCGTTGATCAACGATATTATCGATTGTTAAAACTACTCGCTAAACAATACAAAGAAACCATAGAGAATTATTGCAGAGGGTCGTAAAAGCTGCTTTATCAATGTTGCCAAAGCGTTTAAAAAAAAACCGAGTCAACTGCACGAAACAGTGAATTCCCTCAAGGAAAGAAAGCAAAATTTTCGAATGCATTTATTCAAGCGCAAAAAGTATTCCTTTGAAACACGAAATATTTCCTCAAAAGCTCTCAACATCAGCGGTAATTAGCAATAACATTGCAGTAATCACGAATAGGAACATTGCGAACGAATAAATTTATCAATGAAGCTCATCAAAAAGACGCAACATTTTTTTCCACGGAAAGAATTCTCCTTTCCATGAAAAAAAAACCATTTCATTGAAATTTCAAAATAAACGAAAAGTGTTTTGCTCCAGTTGCCCCTAATAATTCATGATTTTTTATCAATCATCATTCTCATGACTCTTTTAAAATGAAATGATCAATAATCTCAGCTGTCGATTAATTATCAAGTGAATAATTCTAATTTTAGCCAGTTTAATTGGATTTTCGATTAAAGAAATAATCAGCAAACTCACTACCTCAATTACTGACTGATGAAATAATTTTTTGATGTTTGATTATTGATTGCTAATATAACTGAAATTTGTTTCAAATTATTCCCTGATTATTGTAGCAAAATAAGGGTATTTACAATTTACGTTTTTGGTGATAAATTGAAAATAATTGAAACGAGTCAACTGCACGAGACAGTGAATTCCCTCGAGGAAACCAAAGCAAAATTTTCGAATGCATTTATTCAAGCGCAGAAAGCATTAAGGTAATTAGCAATAACACTGCAGTAACCACGAATAGGAACATTGCAACCGAGTAAATTTATCAATGAAGCTCATCAAGAAGGCTCAGCATTTTTTTCGACGAAAAAAATTGTACTCTCCATGAAAAAAAAACCACTTCATCAAAAATTAAGTCATTGAAATTTTGAAACAAGCGAAAAGTATTTTGGCCCAGTTGCCCCTAATAATTCATCATTTTTTATCAATCATCATTCTCATGACTCTTTTAAAATGAAATGATCAATAATCTCAGCTGTCGATTAATTATCAAGTGAATAATTCTAATTTTAGCCAGTTTAATTGGATTTTCGATTAAAGAAATAATCAGCAAACTCACTACCTCAATTACTGACTGATGAAATAATTTTTTGATGTTTGATTATTGATTGCTAATATAACTGAAATTTGTTTCAAATTATTCCCTGATTATTGTAGTAAAATAAGGGTATTTACAATTTACGTTTTTGGTGATAAATTGAAAATAATTGAAACGTGTCAACTGCATGAGACAGTGAATTCCCTCGAGGAAACCAAAGCAAAATTTTCGAATGCATTTATTCAAGCGCAGAAAGCATTAAGGTAATTAGCAATAACACTGCAGTAACCACGAATAGGAACATTGCAACCGAGTAAATTTATCAATGAAGCTCATCAAGAAGGCTCAGCATTTTTTTCGACGAAAAAAATTGTACTCTCCATGAAAAAAAAACCACTTCATCAAAAATTAAGTCATTGAAATTTTGAAACAAGCGAAAAGTATTTTGGCCCAGTTGCCCCTAATAATTCATCATTTTTTATCAATCATCATTCTCATGACTCTTTTAAAATGAAATGATCAATAATCTCAGCTGTCGATTAATTATCAAGTGAATAATTCTAATTTTAGCCAGTTTAATTGGATTTTCGATTAAAGAAATAATCAGCAAACTCACTACCTCAATTACTGACTGATGAAATAATTTTTTGATGTTTGATTATTGATTGCTAATATAACTGAAATTTGTTTCAAATTATTCCCTGATTATTGTAGTAAAATAAGGGTATTTACAATTTACGTTTTTGGTGATAAATTGAAAATAATTGAAACGTGTCAACTGCATGAGACAGTGAATTCCCTCGAGGAAACCAAAGCAAAATTTTCGAATGCATTTATTCAAGCGCAGAAAGCATTAAGGTAATTAGCAATAACACTGCAGTAACCACGAATAGGAACATTGCAACCGAGTAAATTTATCAATGAAGCTCATCAAGAAGGCTCAGCATTTTTTTCGACGAAAAAAATTGTACTCTCCATGAAAAAAAACCACTTCATCAAAAATTAAGTCATTGAAATTTTGAAACAAGCGAAAAGTATTTTGGCCCAGTTGCCCCTAATAATTCATCATTTTTTATCAATCATCATTCTCACGACTCTTTTCATGCGCAGTTGCACGTCGACGCACAGCAATGCAAGATGCTGAAAAAAATCAGGAAATAATCAAGATAAAAATCTCTCGCTTCAAGAGGATCAGTTCTAGGCCCGTGAGATTATATTTTCCCCCAGAGTTGGAAATCTGTAATTCAGGAACCGCCATGACACGAAATGTACGTTGGGACGCCTCGAGATTGCACCAAAGGACGTAGAAAGGACGACAAGGATTGAAACGAAGGAAGAATGACGAGTGTTATCGCTGGGATCGAGCAATCGGGGGAAATTATCGACGACCGAAAGAATAAATTATCGAGTACGATCAGCGGATAATCGGGAAATTTGCGGGGTCGAGCACATGGTTCCACCGATGGAGGAAACATGGCGGACGTGCACGGTTAGAAGCGGCCGATTGACAGATGAATGGGTGAAAAACGCCGGATACCCCGGTTAAGGGGTGAATTGACGGTGTCGGCGGGGTTCTACTCACCTTACGCTTCTCCAAATTCCTTATCTTGTGCTCGATAACGATTATGGCTTGGCGTATTGGGTCGGTGGCCTCCGTAGAGGCCTGTTTTTCTAGTTTAGGGTTGGCAGAAGGCATCCTTCACGGGCAACAAACGCGAACTGGAATGGCAGCGGCTACGGCATGGTGGGGAGGAGTGAGCATCAATGAGACTGATGCGCATGCGTCGCGCGACGCTTTCCGGTCGGTGGAATCGGGCCTAGAGATGCAAAATGACCGTCATTTTTTAGATCGCGTCATATGACCAAAAAATGACGGTCTTGTGACGATCATGTGCCGCACAAATTTTCCAACTACAAATGATTGTCACAAATCATTTGCAACCAAATTGTTGTCAAACCATCTATGTAGTTGCATAATGACGGTCATAACTAATTTAACACGTAACTAATAATAAAACAAAATAGTTTCATCTATATGGACGGAACAAAATCGTGATTTCCATTTCAAAATGCGGATTAGGCCGATACAAAAGGAATTCAACTGAAAATTGACCGAGAAAAAAATAAAGTTTCATCTATATAGATGAAAAATGACTGTCGTTTTTTCTTGACAAGTTGTGATGGTCAAGAAGGGGAAATGTGACAGCCGTCATGAACGCCTCGTCATGTGACCGTCATTGACGGTTGTCGGGGGGTCACGTGGGGTTGGTATGAATTTTTGGGGGTTTTCAGGACCTGTTTCAAGTTTTTGGTTTAGTAAATCACGATTAGACCCCAACTGAAGTTAAATTAACTCTAGCTGATGAATCATTAATTTGATCTTCTTAATGGTAGTAGAGACCTCAGAGATTAATGCATTATTAATTTCATGCAGCTGAAACGTTTTCATTAGAATAAATGAATGCGTTCATTAATTAGGAACAAAAATATTGTCGGAATGAACTGAAAAATTTCGAATATATTTTTACTCTATCAATTTTTTTAGACATAAATACATTATTGTTTAATAATGTAATGTTTGATAATTTAAATGTGAACAAACATTTTCCTGATCTAAATCAAGACTTAATTAGTTAGAAATTCAATTAATTCTAACCACGGGTTAACCGGAGTTAACCTTGGGAATTGGGAATTGAATAATTTACTCTTCAAATAATGAAGCCATTTGAATTTTGTGATTTTTTTTTATTCAAAAATTATTAATAAAAACATAAATTATGCCAGTAGTTTAAAGATCTACAGTTATTTATGTATTTATAGTTAGACGATATCATTCAACAAAATGAACTGTAAACGAACAAAATACTGGTGTCAGTGTCTCACGAGTTTACAATTCCATTCGGTATTACTTTTTTTTGCTGTTACAAATTTGTGAAATGTTGTGGGTTCTCTTTATTCACTGGTATTTAAATATTTTGCTGATTATTATTCAATGCGTTTGGGGTTTCTGATCGACTCTACGAGGGAGTTCACTAAATCTGGCGATCATTTCTATTTTTATCTCGATGAATTCCCCCTGATGATCGATCACACCTGATATCATCTATTGCATGGCACGTATCTTACAAACGAAATGAGAAAGTAAACCTAAGAAAAATAATAACTGTGTTGAAGTGATAAATCACAACAGACATCTTCAAGAAAATGCTAAGGGACAAGAAATATTTCATGACATTTCATCACTTCACCACATAAACAATCTTGGTAATTGCTTGAACCATGAATTTTTTCGAATTAATAATTGTGATGTCACTCAAATGCCCGCATTTATTCAATCCAAACTTTGATAAATTCTCCGAAAAAAAAATTAATGAAAAAAATTGTAATTTTAGTATCTCATTCACTCATACCTCATCAGAATTCTCAGAAGAAAATTCTCTTCAATATACTTTACAATTTATAAATATAATCTCATACATCTTCGAAAAATACAATTCCCCTGGTCGCTCTCTGGAAAAAATTGTTTTTCATTTTTTTATCCATCATTTTTCTCCAATGAGATGAAAAACTAAAAGCTAGCTTTTACGATAAGAAATTAAAATTCAATTTCAATGTACAATGTTATCGCTTTCCACGTGAAAGCTTCCACAAGTGGGGAACATATGGATATTGTGTGCGGGTCAAACTAGTTAAAAAATATATATAACTATTTTTTACACAAAAACGAATTGCCATTCAATGAAAAGGTCGTCATGAATAAAAATCCAATGGAAGATTATGAGGCCTGTACAAAGAATTCTTTTCTCAATTAAAAATATTACGAAAAATGTCCAGTGTTTTATGCAGAAAATTCCCTAGCTAATGCCACGATCTAATGTTCATTGTATTTTTTCAGAATTTAATTCTGCGAACAAATCAAATCTTAAATCAGTTCTTCATTTGTGCTGCAACGAAATTTGTGCTCTAAAAAAAAACAAAATTTAAGTCAAGAATTTAAAGTCAATGGAACACAGAATGAAAAAGAAATGAATCCAGACTCTTTATTGCACCAGACTATGAAGAGAAAACGAGCTTGTCTCTTTATTATCGAATTCAGTCCTGAAGTGAAAAGAAAATTAGTGATTCAACTTCCCTCAACTGCAGGTTTTATCGAATATACCGAGACATTCATTGACAACTCATCTGAAGTGAAAGTGGAATTGGCTCAGTTTAATTTTCTTTCCCTTCACAACTGAATAAAATGACGAAACTTTTTATTTATCCTGCAACTGATGCATAACTTGTATATTACATTCATTCGCTCTTATCACTTGCCCTCATCCAAGGACATAAAATTTTCATTCACCTGTGTATCAACTAGAATAATTAATATAAACTGTAGTCTATTCACACCAATGATTCTGCTTCATCCTGTTAATTACAATAAAATTAAACTCGAATGGCAAAAGACACGTCTCCTCGAAATATCCTAAAGTAATTCCCTCAGAGTAAATATGATACACATTTTTCATACGTTCTCCTGCAAACTCTAATCCATGTTAAAAATACTATTGTCTAATGTTTACAACCCCTCCCCCCTTCATGCATTAAAATTGTATCCCAGATATTTATCACTCGGACAGTCCTTAGAATTAATTTTATGATTTTTTTCTGTTGATTAATTATCACTGGAATTTCACTACGAAACACTCACACCAGAGTCTGTCATTAGCGAGGCCTTGGTGAGGCCTTCGATGAGTGTTTTAGCGCCTGTACCTGAGGGAACATCATTGCAATTCGTTTCACAATCAATTTCACGTTCTCTGTTTGTCTTAGCACTCTCTTTTATTCGAACTTGGTGCTCTATGTTGTCTATTTCCGCCCAAATTGTTCGAACTTCTTTGAATAACTGAAATGAAAAATTAATTTCAATTAATTTTTCTTTGTTACTTTACGAATAATTTCATTCAGAATTGAGGGTTTTACCTGATTCAGCCACACCTCATCGGCCAACAATTCATTGAGAATAATCGTCGTGTCTTTATTCTGATCTGCCAGTCTTTTGTCAGCTACTCTTCTCGCACACTCCAGAAACATTAGGTATTTTTGATGGGCAACTTTGTTGAAGAGTCCTACTTTAGTCTGACAAACTCTGCACAGCAGAAAGTCCTAAAAATACCCATAAACAATGAAGTTTAAACGACTTTATAAATTTTGTTTACAAAATAAGGCCGTAATATTAAAAACAAGCCGATTTTTTCATTTTAGAAATTTTTCCTGTTTTAAATTGCACAAACAAATTCATAAAAAATGTCAAGGAAAAATAAATGTTTAGGTCTTGGAGCTCCTTAATTACCTTTTCCTGAGGCACTTTGAGATCGGGTGGTGACCCCTCCAGGGTGGTAGCATTGTACGGCTGTCCATACAGCAAAACCCTGGCGAAGACCTTGCTAAGTTGACACCCATTACACTGCTTCCCCCTGTACTCAGTGCTGGGCAGATCCTTGAGAATATTGAGACATGGCCAAGTGGAAATGGCACTGATAACCGTCTCTCCCCACTTCGTTGTGGACAAGAGCAGGCGTTTCCTCTCCTCTGTCATATCATCGACTGTCTTGACATTCGATAAGAAGTAATCGTCCTGCTCCTGGAATATCTCAGTGAGGAAGTTGGAGTCCAGTGCCTGAGATATCAGGGTCTGTATGTAAACTTCGAAATGATCCTGGTACATCTCGTACTCCTTTATACGTCTGTCCACGTACTCAGAGTCGTCTAGGAGCATTTCGTCCCTCAGGAATTCGACGATTGTCTCCATTTTACTGTGCTGCCAGAATTTAACAGGGACTTGCTGGTAAATGTGACGATTCTGGGGCGCCCAACCCGAGTATGTCGATATATTTCTGTACAGGGTTCTACCGTTTGACACGAACGGCTCGTATTTCTGCAGCAATGTCTTTCCATCTATTCTCCACAATGCTGGATACTCCTCGTCCAATTCAGCCTTCATTACCACAAATTCCCCAGACTGAAATGAAATTATTCGGCTTTACTCTCTATTTACATTCACGAATAATTGGGTTTAATGATGTTAGTAATATATTAATTATCTTTACCCCATTGTCTACTTCCTCAGGGTATCGCTGCTTGCAATAGAATTGAAAAAGCATGATTAAATGATGAAACATGTGATGATGAGGGAAATTATTGGGTTTATCTCAGATGAGGTTCAATGAGGGCTCATACGATTCGTCGAATGTCGATTGATCCAACTTTTTTCCCCCTCTTTTTTCGTCGATCAACCGTCTTGCTTAATTTTTCTACTGGTCGAACATGATTTTGGGTTTTCATCTAGACATTTTGGTGAACTAGTCGTGTGTGTAAAAATTCAGACTGAAATAATTTTTTTTCAGTTTGTCAATGTTCCATTCAGTTAATTTCCAGACAAATTAGGAATCAAATCCACTAGTTATTTTTGTTATTTCATTACTGTTGTGCATAACTATTCGCATTTTTTGGGTTTAATAGAACAGGAATTTTTCGAACAATTAATTGACGCATTTATGCATAAATTTCATAAATGTCCCTAGAAGGTGGGATGATTCGTAAAGAATGCTCTTTGCGTAATTTCATGCGTAATTTCACATGTAATTTCATATGTAATTTCACACGCAAATTCATATCTGGTTTCATACGTAATTTCATAAATTACATAAAATGCATAAATTTCATAAATGTCCCTAGAAGGTGGGATGATTCGTAAGGAATGCCCTTTGCGTAATTTCACATGTAATTTCATATGTAATTTCACACGCAAATTCATATCTGGTTTCATACGTAATTTCATAAATTACATAAAATGCATAAATTTCATAAATGTCCCTAGAAGGTGGGATGATTCGTAAGGAATGCTCTTTGCGTAATTTCATACGTAATTTCACATGTAATTTCACATGTAATTTCATATGTAATTTCACACGCAATTTCATATCTGGTTTCATACGTAATTTCATAAATTACATAAAATGCATAAATTTCATAAATGTCCCTAGAAGGTGGGATGATTCGTAAGGAATGCTCTTTGCGTAATTTCATATGTAATTTCACATGTAATTTCATATTTAGTTTCACACGTAATTTCATAAAATGCACAAATTTTCGACGAATTGTATCACCTCCATTGAAATAAAAATATCCAAAACCACTGAACACCCGAGAAATTCCCAACAAACCTTAAAAGGCGAAATATCAATATCCTCATCTGTAACAGAAGCGAGTAGTTTTTCATCGATCTTGCAGGTGACCTTGGCCATAGAATTCTTCACGTCACTCTTCCTCCTCCCCCGCTTGCCCCCCACGGCCTCCACCGAGGAGTAATCCTCATTATCCAGAAGATTCTTCGCCCGTTTGCTGATCACCGGTCGCCCCCTCTTCTTCTTCTTATCCAAATCCCCAGGTCCCAGTTTATCAGCGGGTGTCCACGCAGGATCTGAATCAGAGTCGCCCTGCTCATCCCCATCGGAGTGTTCCTGAAGCTGCTTGCTGGAGATCTGCTCCTTAGCTTTTCGCTTGGAAGTCTCTCTCCTCGGAGGTAGAGGTTCCTTCTTCGGCTTCTTCGGCTCCTTCTTCGTCTCCTTCTTCGTCTCCTTGGTTACCCTCGGTGGTTTACCAGCAGCGGCATCGGCAGCAGCCTGAGCAGCAGCGAGTGCAGCAGCCTTCCTCTTCCTGTCAGTCGGCCCCCCCGGCTTAATGGGCCTTCCCTTCTTCGGCCTCGGCACTTCAGTCTTCACCAGAGCATTCTCCACAGGCCCATTCGCCTTCTTCTTCTCACTCTTCAATTTAAACGGAAAGTCATCCTCACTCTCGATCCCATCATCACTGGAGTCAATGTACGGCTTCTTCCTCTCCTTCGGCAGGGGAAAATACCTGGGATCGTTGGCATAGTCGATCGTCGGTGTCTCCTTCGATGAATTCTGCATTTTCGGGTCCACCTGGCCATTGGCCTCGCAGGATCTGTTCAACTCTGGGGGCACGTAGGGCCTCGATCTGCTCCAGGTGGCCTTCCTCCCTCCCCTCATCGCCGGTGGTGATGGGTCTCGCTCCCCCTGCAGGAACTTCAAGTAACTCGTCATGAAGCCCGAGTTGGGGTCCTTGCTGCTGGCCTTCAACTCCCTCGTCAGCTGGTTCGCCTGCTGCTGGGCAATTTCACTCTGCTGGAGGAATCCCAACTCCTCCTCGATGTTGGGGACTATCACCTTGGGCTGGTCCTCACGGTAGTCCTGGTAGTCAGGCTGAGAGCTGTTGGAGTTCTCGAAGGGAATCGAGGGAATGTCCACTCCAGGCTGGAACTCTGGGTTCGGCTGAGCCCCCGAGGGCAGGTGGAACGTTGGGAAGTAGGGGATGGGGGCTGGGGTGTGCCCCATGAGTCCCTGGGGCTGGTTCCCTCCGAAATTACCAGAGTGCAGGGCCCCCTGAGCCCCAAAGCTCCCAGAGGAACCCGGAAACACTTTGGGAGCTGCTGGTGGGAGATTCCACCTCTCGAAGTCATAGTAACCGTTCTGGCTTTGCTGATTGGAGTTGTGGTGGGCTGGTGGAGGGACTCTGTTGAGGTAATCAGTCATCGGGGCTGGAGGGATGTCGTTGAGGGCTGGCTGGCTTTTGTCGAAGCTCCTTCGTTTTTTCGAGGGATCTATCTTCCTCTGGCGCTCCTCCACGTCTTTCTGGACGTCCGGGGGGACCTCGGGGGCTTGCTGCTGGACTTGGCAGGCTTGGGGCAGGGGTTTGACGCTCATGGGGTCTCTGCAGCTGCTCAGGTCCTGCAGGGGCACCTGGTTACCCTCGAAGTAGGTCGAGCCCTGTCTCTGCCCCTGCCCAAGGGCCATTTCCCCAGAGTAACCTGGGAACTTTCTCTGTCTCTCGTTCTCCCAGCAGATCTGCTTCTGCCCGAACTCCTGCCTCTCGTACCTGTTCTCCCCAGCGCCCAGAGCCCTCGTGATCACAGAGGGGTAGCCCACCTGCCCCTGGGACGCAGGTCTGGGCACAGTGACGTCCAGGGGAGCTGGTGGTGTCACCTGCTGGGCTCCTTTGTAACTCGCACTGGAACACTGGTTGACAGTCTCGTGCTGCAGGGGAGATGGAGACGACATAGACGCCATTGGGCTGTTGTACATGGGGTAGGCTGGACTGGGCACGTGCCCCAGGGGACTAGCTTGTGAATGAGCCTGGAGGGGACTGGGTCTCCGGGGCACCACGACCCCACAGTCAGGCCCATTTTGAGAGGTGTTCGAGGAGTAAGCCGAGTCTGTTGAAGCTGCTGACTTGGACCTCGGGTGGTGGTACTCAGGGTCGCCCTGAGGGCCTGTGTAGTGCCTGTAAGACGTCTGGCCTGGGGTCTGCTGGTTCAGAACGTGATACTGCTGGCTCTGGATTCCAGGGTTGGGGGGGGTTCGTTGGCTCTGGAGCTTTGGAGTGTTCGTGGTGGTGGTGGTGGTGGTCGTCGTCGCGTAGTTCATGCTCCTGTCCATCATGGAGAAGCTGATCGGCGAGGACTGACTGCTCTCCATTGTTGGATCCCTTCGTAACTCTGGGGTCACCATGTCTGGGTAGACCTTCGACTGGGCTTTCGTGGGGACACTTCCTGTGCTCGTCTTCCCAGGGCTGGAGCCGAATATCCTGGGCTTGTCCTGGGCAGTCGCCCCCTGGAATATCGTTGTTGGGGTTCTCGGGGCCCCCTGGAGTCTGTAGTCCTTGCCTGAGGGGGTGGATTGAGCTGACACGATGCAGGACTGGTGCAGGGGCGACTGCACTTTGGTGGTGGCAACGGGGTAGCTGCCTGGGTTGCCAAGCGCTCCAGCATTCCCCAGGGCTGAGTCGTCGTTGTAGGTCGTGGGGAGCTGCTGGAAAAATGGAGCTCCTGGGACTGAGGAGCCTGGCGACACGTTGACCACTGATTTGGCACTTGGTGAAGGCGCTCGCACCTTTTTGGGGTCGGAAAAGTTTGCCGTCTTGAAGCCATCCTGTGGGATTGCGCTCAGGGTGTTGAGGGGCGATCCTGCGTTGAAGGGGCTGTTGAAGTTGTTCTCGTAGGTGGATTTGACGACTCCAGGACCTGGGGAGGATGTCACACTCTCGTGGGGGAGGATGCCGAAGGGGCTGGGCAGCTGATTATTCTGGCTCCAAGCCAGCCCTGAGGAGCCCTGGCTCTCGAAGAAGCTGGAGGCTCCAGGGTAGTCTCTGATGGTTGCCTCGGGCTCGGGGGGTGGGGTTTTTGGTCCAGACTGACCCAGCATCTGGCGGTGAGCATAGTGGGACTGCTTCGGGGGCGATGGGTGGAACAGCGGGGTGAACACCTCGTAGCTCACTGAGGGGGGCGTCAGGAAGCCACTGGGGTTGAAGGTCGGCTGAGCAGCCAGGGGGGAGGAGGGGTGGGACTGCAGGAGCAGGGGGGTGGTTGTTGTGGGGGGCTGGTGGGGGAGGAAGTCGGGGGTTGAGCCACCTGGGTATGCGCCGGTGGTTGGGGGCAGACGGTTGTACGAAGCGTACCATGGACCCACTGGATCCATCACCTGAGAGGGTTGGGGGCTAGCTTGGCCCAACCTGGTGACAGGTGGGTTATGGGGTGATCGAGTGGGAGGCGGTGGTTAGGGGGGTGGTGACATTCTCTTTGTCTTTGGGGAGGGGGAGTGGTGAATGCATCAAGGAGTCAGGGGTTTGGGGTTTTTTCCAGGGGTTTTCAGGGGCTTTCAGTGTTTTTGGGGGGTTTGGGGGACGGGTGGGTGAGGACAGGCGTCTTGGGGGGTTCAGGGGCAGGGATTCACCGGATTTCGGGGGGAGTTTGCTCCCTGGGATCTTCGGGGAGGAATTGGGAGTCACGAGGGAGGAACACTTTTTCTCGAGGCTCTCTGGGGGTGATCGGCGGTGGCGAGGGGGGAATAACACTGGAATATGGCCACAACCCTTCAGGGCTACACACACGTTCGAGGGTAAGTCATGTAGGCTGGAACTTGTCACACATGACACTGTTGTTTACGTTTTTTTCCGGGGGTTTTGCGGGGTTTAGGGGGGACGGTTGAGGCGGCGGTTTTGGTTTAACGAAGGGGTGTTCGGGGTTTAATTGAGATTGCGGATTTAATCGCGAGTTATTGTGGCGAAAGCAACGTTGCCCTCCGAGTGCCCATTACAGGCTGCCATTTTGAGCAGTCAACAATTGGGCAGAGCGACATCTATCGATCTGCGGCCAGCGCAGGCGGGATTTTTTGAACAATGGTGTGGATGAAGGGGAAAGTGGTTTCGCCCTTCCTTCTGGGTGATTCGCAGATTGGCAGGGGCTTGCGCAGACGCCGAGAGTGGGTGGGGACACTTTCATTCAGCTTTTTTTTTATAATCATCTCTAAAATTTGAAAGAATAATAATAATTGGTATTGGGTCATACTGTTTTATTATTATTGATAATAATTTTATTGCGACAATAAAATATTAACAATATTTTATTATTAACACTAATTATTATTATTTTTCTCTCGAAATTTAAGGATTTTTTAATTTAATTTTGTTAACAAAAAAAATAGAAATATAGATTTTGTTTTAATTGAAAAAAAAAGATTAAATTCTGTTGGAAAAAAAAATTTTTGGGAAGTTTTCGGACATTTCTGTTCTCCTTTCGTAAGATCAAAGGTGATGCATTTTTTCCCCCTCCCCTAAAAATCAGGAGAAAGGATGAAAAGAATAAAAAGATGATGTAGGTACCTGAACCGCCTGAAGGCTCCAACAAAGGGTTCCGCCTCTCTCGCGAAAGCTATTATTATTATTTCGTTGTGCATATGCATCCACGTGTGTTCGCAGGGGAATCTCACGATCAATTTCATGTGACCCTGAGTAATTCTCAAAGGCCCCACCAGCCTCAGCCCACTCCACTTGAGTCAGAGGTGAAACTTTGAGGCGCAGGAGACACCCCGAAATGAGACATTTAGCTTATTTTGGAGAATTAATCGTGACGCCTTTTTTCGTGGAATTTTTTCCCCACGAATAAATTCTCCTGACGAATTCTCCAAAAGAGAGAGGATTAAAAAATCAACAACTTGCTCAGTTTCAATGTTTAATAATGTAAGAATATATTTCAATAATTCATGAATCAATCATAATCAAACTAATCGTAATGATGAAATTGTAACCACTAGATTACGATAATACAAACTAAATTAGGCATTGAGAAAAATCATCCTCTGCAATTTGCAAAGAAATACCTGAAAAATTTGACATTTACCTCTAGGATCACTAGGAGCACCAAACGTCCCCCAAATTTTGATTTCCGACGTTCAATACTTCCCCTACCAACTAATAATGAATGTTAATAATCAATATGTAAGACACTTAGTTCATGTCACCTCAGTGACCAAAAACAATACAGTATCCATCGGAAAAAAAAGAGCACAAAAATGGAAAAGGAAAATTGCTAAATATTTTTCAGACTTTAGTCTCCCCAGATGGGAACTGAATGGGTGAAACGAATATTTTGATGAAGTGTTTCAACAAAAATGCAGATACAAAATTATGAATACTCGATAATCTTTATTCACTCCCTCCTCTTGTAAATAAATAAACAATCGATATGCCATTGAGGGGTGTGATTTGACTCCACTTTGGCTTACAGGGAACGTACCACCCCCAGGGTACCTACTTACGGTAACACGACAAAAGTTCAACGATCGTTGCTCTCTCTCTCTCTCTCTCATCAATATTTGTTACGTTATTAGTGACTCGAAGTCGCTGCACCACGGCTACCTCATCTGCATCTTCCTCTGCTGCCAGACAGCGAATTTACGGTATGCTGTGTTGAGGAGCTGATTGAGGTGGGTAGTCAGGTGCTGACTTATCGCTGAGTAGTCTCGTTGGAGGTGATCCTCGAATTTCTTCAGTCTGGCCGTGTGAAACCTGCGGAGTGCCTCGTGCATTCTCACGGCTTTCTCCTCCAGCTGGGGAGTTGTCGGTGGAAAACTCCTCCAGAAGTGTCTCAACAGCTCACACGTGCAGACGTAGACACTACGAAGTTCTTTCTCAAGTTCTAGAGGTATTAATTCTGGAAAAAACAAAATCACTGGGTTAATTTGATCATTTCAGGTATAAATTCGTTGATTTTTCAATTTTAATTCCAAGTACGTCTTGACATTTTCACGGAAATTTAAAAAAAAAGAACAAAAGAGACTGAAATTAATTTCAGAATGCAAATTAACTATTTGTTCCTCAAATTAATCCCTGATAAACAGTAAAAAATCTCGAATTCGTGAATTTGATAAAAAAACATGAAGAGAATTTCTAAGTATCAGTCCCCCTCGCCCAGAATACCCCAAATCCACTTACGTCCAACATTATCCTCCCTAAACCCCTTCATGAGTGCCCCACCAGGTGTGAGTTCCCCCAGAGCAGAGACAGCAGCAGCAGGGCTAACAAGACTAGTCTGCCTAGGTAAACTATTACCATTAACCCAATAATGAGCCTCTCGTTTGAGTTGACCCAGTGTCGCCTGCAATTCCTCGGTGGTGGCCTCATTGGCCCCAGTGCCAGACACAGGGCCATGCAAATACCTATCTACATGCGTTAAATTCAGTGGAGCTGACGATACGACAGCGCTATCTCTACTCGAGTCCAAATCATCGTAAACCAATTTCTCCTGTATCCTAAGTTTCTTAGTCTTTGGTTCGTCCTCGTTAACTTTATTCCCTGATGAATTACCAGTTGAAGCTGAACCATTGACCTGTGGAGTCGCTGAATCACTCCTCTTGTCACTCGTTTTGGCAGTGCTGGCTTTCATCACCATTATACTGTGCTGATTGAATCGTTTTATCATACTCTGGTGGACAATGTTACCGGAGGACTTGTCAATCTTCCCTGTCCCACTGCCATAGCTTTCGTCCATCGCTGTGTCCTCGAAGGACGTTATGTCGAGCAGTGGATCGTTTATACCAGTCTGTATGTCCTTCTTCAATTCCTGATCGTCTATTTTGGCACACTCGGTGAAGAGATCTTTGGTCCCTGCATTTATTCGATCCCGGTGAAAGTAGTGGGATTGAAAGAACTTTGTCCAAAAATCGGATTCTGATATTTTATCGGTTAACACGTTCTCCTGGTGCTTTTTCTTCACTGCTGGGTAGGTCTTGAATATGCAGTCTATTATGTCCACTGTTAGGTTGTATTTCAAACCGTTGCAACCGTCTGTCACTGGTTTTATTTCAGCCTGGAGGGGGGACAGATTTATTTCATCAATTCTTTTATGAATAGAGAGATTATTTTATTTTTTTACTAAGAAATAATGTGGGGGAGGCTTTATTTGAGTTGTTTAAAAAATGTCTCATGATTTTTTTTATTAATGACTGTTATAGAGATAATCAGACGGATAATAATTACATCATTTCATTGTCACGTGGTTATCATTTTTTTCAAATGAAGTGACAAGAGATATTTTTAATAGCTGAGGAATTTATCAACAAGAATGTCTGGTAGAGGATGAATCATCTAGTTTTAATGGATTTTTTAAATTGAGTTTGAGGAATTCAAGAGTTTATGAGCAAACGACAGGAACATTTTTTGTAACAAGACATTTATCAAAAAAATTGCTTAAAATTCTAGTTTAGAGTTGATGACTCCAGGAATAATTTGATAATTTTACTTACGAGGAAGGCACTATTGACTCCAATCTCCTGTCTTTCTCGAGCCTTTGTCGTGTACTCTGGTGCATGAAGATTCCAAAATTCCTCAGCAGTCACCACTTGAGTCGGTACTAAATCACGATAAAGTTGCAGGAGAGTTGGGTTATCTGTTAATAATCTAAAAACGAATTGATCTCAATGATTAAACAATTCAGACTGAAAAACACTGAAAGTGAAGGTTTGATCGTTACTTTTTCTTCTCCTCGATTTCTTTATTGACTTTTCTCTTGAATTTCGGCAGCAATTGCTGCAGCAACTCCTTGACATCATCTCTGTCCTTGACCTGTGCCTCCTGTCCACTTTTATTGACGAAATGAAATGTCGAAGATGTGCCATCGTGCAACACCAGTTGCAATTGGATTTTTGATTTACCATCGGGTGATATTTTTTGTACTGCAATGAATTCGATTTATTATGCCCACTCAATTGACTGATCTTCCGAGTAATTTCGAGTTTTATTCTGTATCCTTGAATTTTTTTTCTTCAGTCTTTTAATTTACATCATCAATTACAAATGTACTCTTTTAATTACTGATTAAGGCATGGGTGCATTATCTTTCGAACGTTATCTCGATTGTTTACCCATCTTCATAATATTAAACGTATCATAATTACTACTCGATTTTATTATAATTTTTATTCATTATATTATATTTTATTATAATTGTATATTTATCATAATTTCTATTAGATTAATAATTTACAATTTCCTCCCTAGTAGTTTTATTTCCAATATCATTCAAAAATGCTCTTTGAAAATGTTGAGCTTTTTTTCAACGTTTCTTTGATTGTGCAATCATAATTTTTGGAAACCCCAGGGCTATGCAAAACTGAATAGCAATTGGAGATCATTCCAGATTATTAAACTAAAAAAAAAACAATTGAGATCACATTCGAAAGATAATCCACCCGGGCCTTAAATATAATTAATTATAATTGGAAATTGTCGATTGTGTTCCTCGATTTATATAAAAATATTTAGGACTCACTTTTTATATCTGCGTATTTGTGACTGACTGATACCGTGTCCCTGTTATCCATCATCCACGCAATTCTCTCGTTCATTACGTAAAGTGTGCCATCGCCTTTCTTGTAACGAACCTGGCCAACTTGCATCAGAACGTCTTCCGATGAGGTAGTCATGGTGGATGTGGTGTATGATAGTATGTGCCTATACACCCAATTCGAGAATTAATAAAAAACCCTAAAGAAAACGATTGAATAAAGAGACGAGTTGATATAACTCTGAGCTGAGGGAGCTTTCAATGAACTTGAAGAGCATTTTCATATAAAATATTCCCATTGAACTCCCAGATATCCAATTCCCGAAAAACTCCATTCAGTGCATTGACAGCATCATAAATAATCAGTAAATAAACCACAAACAATCTTCATCCCACAATAAATTCTCAATAACCCCTGCGCACTAAAAAATCAAAATTGTCCATTCAAGTCGCCCCTAAAAAAAGATAAACCACAAAACGACTGTATTTTTATTATTCCTCTCATTTCATACTTTTTTTATTAACATCTCTGAGTCCAACAGTGACAGAGAAATCCTCCTACAGAAAAAACCAAGAGCTAAAAAAAATCTCTCTAAAAATTTCGAAATTCCCATTGAATTCCCGGACACCCAATTCCCAAAAAATTGATTTCAAAGCAGTGACAGCATCATAAACAATTAATTAACAAACCATAAACCCTCATCATCCCCAGTCCTCCCCGCACGATAAACCCCAAAGTCGCCCAATAAAATTGTCTCCAAAAAACAAACGACCTTATTTTTACTGTCACATTATATTTATGACTGACTGGTTCGTCACCGTGTCCTTGAGGCACTCCACGCCACATTATCAAACGTTGCAAGTGCGAGTCAAACGCAAATGCAAGGCCCCAAAGTGTAAAAACCCCCGAGAAACGCATGACTTCACTCCCTCCAGGGCCCATAACTCTCTCTCCCATCGAGACCCCCAAATTTTCACCAGAAAAAATCCTCGAAATTCAGGGGAGACGGAGTTCAGTCATGAGCGAGATGGAAAATCGTAACTGGATAATTATAACTCACAATTTTATCAATTCAATGAGAAAGCTCGGGGTTAAATAAAGCTCTCAAACGATACTTATGGGCTTTGCGGTTGATAATGGGACGTTTATAGTGATTTTTAGGCGATTTTTACCGGTGAAAATGCTCGGATATGTGTGGAGCGATGTGATGGCCTGTCTTTCGTCACGGCCATGTGCAGTAACACACATCGTTGGCATCGTGAGGACGGCTACGGACGGACCGTCGGTACGAACAACATCGACCTGCGAAGAAGACTGGCGTTACTGCTGGGATCAGAGGCGCAATTGCGGGGGCTTCCGGCTGATTCGGGGGTATTCTCATCACTTTAACTCGATTCCAACGATTTTTTCCCATTTAAAACATTGAAAAAATGCGGAAACACGTTTAAAACATTGAAAACACTTTTTTACACCCGAGTAAATAATTTTTTCGACTAATTTAAACGCTGATTTGACTCCGGAGTCGACGAGAGTCGCTGCAAGATGGCGCCAGGCGGTCGGGAACGTCTCGCGAATTCCGGGAGTTTTTTTGTTGTTTGGAGTGAAAAGAAATGATTTGGAGTGATTGTTGGGGGTTTGGGGTGGGTTCCGATGATTTTTGGGGGTTGGGGGTGTGGGGGAAGGGTTTTAGGACGGATTTTTGGGGCGATGGAGGTGTGGAGGGGGGAGGACTCGGCTTTGTCTCCATCTGTGGGGCTAAAGTGGGGCTGAGGCACGCGAGAGGAGTCCACGGATGGTCAGAGGCGACTTTGCTGGTGCTCGGTATGTTGTTGTTCGTTTTTATTGATGAGAGAGAGATGTGGGAGGATGATTTGAATGGTGATTTAGGGGACGGGTTGATGAGATGGGCGATAAATTGGCGGGGAAGGCGGGGAGGTGAGCGATTCCTTTGTTGTCATTACGAATGTTTTGTTTTTGGGGTTTTCGGGGAGTCTTTGTTGTTGGGGGTTATACTGGAGGTTTTATTGGGATCAATCATTGATGGTGATGATGATGATAAGGTGAGAAGTGCTGGAAATGGGAGGTAACTGGAGAATTGTGGGCCGATGGAGGAAAATTGTTTGTTTCTGGGAGTCTTGCGGCTTTGTTTGATCACTGGATGATTTAATTGGTTTCGTCACATTTATTTGACGGACATTTCGATGCAAATGATGGCAATTGTCATGAAGATTAGGTGAATGAGAGGAAAAGTGAGGAATTAGGGGCGAGTTAATCGAGAATTCCTCGGCTTTCTCCGTAAAAATCTGTTGTTTTTTATTTTTTTTAATTTTTGGGGGTATTAGTGGGTTCAATTACATTGGTTAATTGACTTGGAATGATGCCAATAATCACAAAAACGACGAAAATTTCTTAGATGATTGGGGAGTTAGGTCCAAAAATTAGAAGTTTGTAAATTTGGTTTTGAGAAAATTCTTTGTTTTTTTTTATTGTTCAATCGTGGGAGGTTTTATTGACTATGTTACATTAGTTAATTACAATTACATTCAAAATTATGATAATCATCCTCCCAATTCTGCGAATGAAATGAAAAATGTGGAATTCTGTGCTGAAATGGCAAATGCAGACGAAAAAAAAATCGATATTCTTTCTTTTAAAAATATCTCAGGAATGAGTGGATGTGGGAAAATTTTTGATAAGACATTTTCTGCAGAAAATTTCGTCAGCTACAAAAAAAGTCTTCTGAGAAATTCCCCTAAACCCACTCGTTTTTGAGGTATTTATCGAAGACTCTAATCAATTTTTTTAGCCATCTCCTGTTATGACTTCACTATTGAATTCTCATTTTTTAAGCGAATTTACGTTCCTTAATTTTCATATTACCGTGATTTTTTACTATTTCCACAGGCTCTTGGCAGTCGCTGTCGAGCAATCTCTCCTCGGTCGCGTAGCGGGCATAAAAACATAAAGATATGAAACTATAATCGTTGAAATGTCGGAGGAAAAAATCTCACTGATCCTGCGAGTGCAACCGAGGGTTAGTGTAAAGCCATTTTCCATTACCACCCGGCGGTTTTACGATGTTCATATGGTGCCAGCGTATTTTTATGTAAGTACACCTTATACCTACCCTGAGCTGCCCGTAAAAATGCGAATGTAGGACTATCAAGTCGTTGCTGTTACGCGGGTTTACGAGGGGAAGAGAAAAATTGCCGGGCTATTTATCCTGGGGGATTGTTTTTTAATGAAAATGACAGGGATGTTCTTTGGATTTTATATTGAGTGGACTCTGTGAGTGATAGTGAACAAGTGAATCAACGATGTTCACATGCAAGTGGGGAGATTCGAGGGAAAATGTAATGTATCATTGTCTTGGTGAAATCGAATGCACTGATTATACCGAATTGGCTTTTCAAAATGACTGGAGAATAAATTGGGGCAAAATGAGCACTTTTGAGTTTTTTTCGATGATGATGAACTCAGAATTTTTTTTTATGAAATTCAGTTGGGGCACAGCACCAGGGGAAAGAATTATTATAGTTTTCATTGGCGATTCTATGAGTCATTGACATTTCAAGAAATTTTTAAGTGCCAGGTATAAATTTCAAATCAATGTTGGCATTTGGGAAGAGGACTTTGAAATATTTTTGTATTTTTCTGTGGAATTCTTATAAATTTAGGGAGGTCAACGTCGAAACTTCCATAGCTGACTCTAGATTTCCTGAGATTTTGCAATATCTTTATTATTTTTTATTCCATATTTTTAAATCATGAGGAATAACGCAGTAGACTTTTTGAATAGATTCATAAAATTTCAATTTTTGGAGATTATTAGGGATTTTTTTATGACTGATTGATGAACAATCAAATTTCAGAATTTTTCCAGAAAATGAAATCATCAAAAAAATACGTTTTTGGAATTTTACAAAATTTTTATTATTGGCTTTTCAAAATTTTTATTTATTGGCTTTTCAAAATGACTGGAGAATAAATTGGGGCAAAATGAGCAGTTTTGATTTTTTTTCGATGATGATAATCTCAGAATTTTTTTTTATGGAATTCAGTTGGGGCACAGCACCAGGGGAAAGAATTATTATAGTTTTCATTGGCGATTCTATGAGTCATTGACATTTCAAGAAATTTTTAAGTGCCAGGTATAAATTTCAAATCAATGTTGGCATTTGGGAAGAGGACTTTGAAGTATTTTTGTATTTTTCTGTGGAATTCTTATAAATTTAGGAAGGTTAACGTCGAAACTTCCATAGCTGACTCTAGATTCCCTGAGATTTTGCAATATCTTTATTATTTTTTATTCCATATTTTGAAATCAGGAGGAATAACGCAATAGACTTTTTGAATAGATTCATAAAATTTCAATTTTTGGAGATTATTAGGGATTTATTTATGACTGATTGATGAACAATCAAATTTCAGAATTTTTCCAGAAAATGAATTCATAAAAAAAATACGTTTTTGGAATTTTACAAAATTTTTATTATTTATTTAAGAGCAGGAAATGATGAAAGATAGTTTTTTGTGCAATGTGATTCTCATGACACGGATTATCCATGAATTTTTGAAATTACTCCACTCAAAAATATTAATCAACAATCGATTTCACCAAAACAATTCAATACCCGTGTGGCATTGTCGAGTGAGAAAATATTTCTTCAGTTGATTGGAGTTGGAACCGAGTGGGTTTCGCTCCAATTTCAGTTTTCTTCATAAAAAAATTGTGCCATCCGTTCACCGTTGATTGTCGGTACGTGCCGCGAGTGTGTTATTATAATCAAACGACAAGATTGAGGGCAGTTCCACGCGAAAGTGTTTAACGCGGTTTACTAATCGAGAGACTACAGTCAAGTCGATTAACGATAATTCGAGTGATGAGTGAAATGTGAGGGTAATTTGGTATCTTCGGGGGATTGTCATCTTCAGTAGGCAGTTGAGCTCGACGCGAGGTCAGCGGCGAACGCGTTTCCCCGGATCTACAGCATGGAGGTGAGTACATTGATTATTTATTGAATGATCGATTGCAGCGCTAACTTTTAAGTGAACAAACTCAGGTGACTCAACGTTTATGGCATCTTATCACGAGCTTTCATTTTTTTCTGTTTCAATGTCACCATTGCTATCATATTGTGGGCATTTCTGGACGTTTAATCAAGGAGAATGGTAGATGCATTATTATATCACCGGAATTTTCAGGGTAAATGAAAATTTGGGGTAATGAATGTAAATGAAAGTGCAAAATATTCTTCATTTGTAAATGAAAAACGCGTTCGTAAATTATTCCGCAATAAGTTTAGACGGAAGATGCTCGGAGACATTTAGAGAAGAAAGTTTTCGTTACAAAAGAAAAGATATATTTTTTTTTAAACTAGAAGTTTTTACTGTAGAGTCAACAAATTCACGCGAATGAAAGTTTATGTTTTAATATTATTCTTCATTTCCGTGTTTCATATCGCAGGTATTCTTTGACGTGTAATCACGGAGAATACTAGATACATTATTATATCACCGGAATTTTCAGGAAAAATGAAGATTTGGGGTAATGAATGTAAATGAAAGTGCAAAATATTCTTCATTTATAAACGAAAAACGCGTTCGTAAATTATTCCGCAATACGTTCAGACGGAAGATGCTCGGAGACATTTAGAGAAGAAAGTTTTCGTTACAAAAGAAAAGATATATTTTTTTTTTAAACTAGAAGTTTTTACTGTAGAGTCAACAAATTCACGCGAATGAAAGTTTATGTTTTAATATTATTCTCCATTTTCGTGTTTTAATGTCGTCATTGTTATCATATCGCCGGCATTCTCCGGCGTGTAATTAAGGAGAATAGTAGATACATTATTATATCACCGGAATTTTTAGGAAAAGTGAAGATTCGCGGTAATGAATGTAAATGAAAGTACAAAATATTCTTGATTTGTCAATGAAAAACGCGTTCGTAAATTACCCAGTAATAAGTTTAGAAGGAAGTTTCTTTATGAAAAGAAAGATATATATTTTTTAAACCAGAAGTTTTTATTGTAGAGTCAACAAATTCACGCGAGTGAAAGTTGATGTTTTAATGTCATGAGTCTTTATTTTCGTGTTTCAATGCCACCAATGTTATCATATCGCAGGTATTATTCGACGTATAATTAGGTAGTAGATACATTACTAGATCAGCGGAATTTGAAGGTCTGTGGTAATGACTGTAAATGAATGCCCAAAATATTTTTCTTCACTCATAAATGAAAATAGCGTTCGTAAATTATTCCGTAAATATCTTCGAAAGGGAGGGTTCCGCGATATTAATCAAACGCATTCACAAAGAATTTGATGGGTTACCAAAAATATTTTTGATATCTTTTTCGAAACTAAAATCGTTAACTTTTGGGGAGACGAACTTGGATGACTCGGAGCTTATATTCAGCTGTCATGACATCTCATTTTCTTTCGACGCATCATTGTAATCATTTTCGTCACGCCATGGGCATTCTTCGAGGTGTAGTCAAGGCCGATGTAATAAATTACCGGAAAGTCTAAGATGAAATATTCATCAGCATTCATGAATCCAAAAAAAAGAATTGAATTCATGATGAAACTCATCTCTAATAAATTCAAATGAACTCACGACGGGAGCCATAAGTTCCCGGATAAGATCTTCAATTAAAGCGACCAAAAATTCATGTTTTGGTGGTTCTATATTAAGACACACCTTCATCACCATAAATATGATAATGAACAATGATAATGTACTATCCTGTCACCCTCGACTTTGCTCAAACATTGCTTTTAACGCCCAAGATACCGCGAGTTCGGCATTAGCCCGACTACACTACGGAGATAAGGGGAGTCGTTGCCATTACATCGTCATTTCCCTCCCGCGATATCTAACACTGTGAAAAATCTCAAATCTCTATTAACAATACTCATGTGTAAACTTTGTTATCTGCTCGTATCATAAGTGCTCATTCGCCTATTCATTGACGGAGATAATTGCATAAATCAACTCAATTACTCGAATTGAGGCGATTCGACGCGCCTTTGTTACGCGGAAACCCAAGCATGTTTTTCAATTGCATCATCGAGTGACAGTAATTAGATCTGGAATTGCATAATACGGTTTCATTGATTCTTTTTTGTCAAATGACTTGTCAAGGGCAAGCATTCATTATTTTTAGTCGAACGGATCTCAACATTTTCTTCATAATATACAAAAATATTATGAAGAAACTGGGAAAGAGGAGAATTTACTGTTGAAATGAAGATTACGGAAGTATTAATTATTTTATATTTATCGTATAATCTAATCAATACATCAATGATCAACTACATTAATTCAGCAAAAAAAAATGTTGCTGTCAAGTATGAAGAAGCCTTTAATTTCATCTTTCCCTCATTTTTAAAAATCGTTATCATTGTCACCAATGGCATGGTTCTTCCAACATTGACCGTGAAAGTAGATCCGCAACTCACCAAAAGGAAAGGTTATAAATACAAATGCAACTGTTCAATGGTCTCCACCATATTGATGCGCTTGCGCGACGTCTTTAACGCGTTTCTATATCCCAGAAGTGCTAGAAAAAGGAAATAAAGAAGAGACAACTGTCGCTGATTACTCTAGGCACATTGTGCCATTTCTGTTCTATCGATCGCGTGGTCATACGTTCTCCTAGAGTTGTGTTTTTTTTTGTCGGTTGTCGGTGGGAGGGAAAGCGCGCGCTTCTCTCGATCACGATCGATTCTCGGTGGACATCATGACGGAGACGTTGGACAATTTGGTGAGAGCAATGTAAACAAATTTATCCCTTTCCTCGTGGTTTCACTGGCTTGTCCGTCCTGCACATTCATGGGTTCCAAGTATTCTGGTGTCATTCTAATCGTTATTTTTAGGTTAGGTAACCGCGTGGCTTTTACAGTTTTGCGCATGCGCAGTGCTTATACTCCTCCGCACCTTCAAGTTCTCGCTCCCTTTTTGGTGTTTACGAAAATAGGGTGTAGTAATTTGAACTGATGGGACGCCAGAGCTTTTTTTGCTTTCAAATTTATACTCTATAAACTACGAGATCATTCGCAAATCGCAAAAGTGACATTTGGGTTTTAACGAATGCTATTTTTTTCGGAACTGAGTTCTACTTCAAGTATTCAAAGATCAGAAGAGAGAGAGAGACCGATAACTTGACGCAGTTAAGAATGACCCCTTCATACTCATTAATTATTTCATAATCATCGTAACGTAAAGCAAGAACCTTGTCCCAATTTTCGTCTCTTCTGTTGAAGATCGATAAACCCGAGGAAATACCAAAGGTCCACACCCACACGAGGGTCACGAGACAAGGTCGCACTCAATGGAGACAATGGCTGGCGTCAATCTCCGGTTGGTTATAAATCTCAAGTAACAAAGCAGTGGTTTTCGGCGAATAAATCTACAAAATATGAAAATCCTTTTCCGACTTTCAGCGACATTATCGATGGTAGCGGTTGGTACAGTCTACGGTTGGACGACGACGATGCTGACGCGCCTTGAGAAGAACAAAGACGTACCATTACAGATAACCAGCGATGAGGGTTCATGGATAGTATCAATAGCTGTGATAACGTCCATGGCAGGTTCCTTCTTGGGGGCTTGTCTGGCTGACTTGTTTGGGCGTAAGAAGTGTCTGCTGAGTTCAAGCGTCTTCTTCATCAGTGGCTGGCTAATCGTCATCTTTGCTGACAATGTCGTTTGGCTCTATGTCTCCCGAGTGGTATTAGGAATTGGAGTTGGAATGTCCTATACGACTAATCCCATGTACGTGTCTGAAGTTGCGGACACCAACATACGTGGGGCATTAGGCACACTAATTGCCGTCAACGTCTTCACAGGTTCACTAATCACCTGCAGTGTGGGGCCATTTGTGTCGTATAACACGCTTGGCATTGTTCTCTTATCTATCGCCATAATCTTTGTTGCCTCTTTCATCTTCTTCCCGGAGAGCCCTTACTACCTTGCCATGAAGGATCGAGAGGGGGAGGCTATTCAAGCGATCATGTACTTCAAAGGATGCAGCAGTGGTGAAGCTAGACAGGAGTTGGATGTAATTGTGGAGAACATCAATGAGAATCGAGTCAACACGGAGGGCTGGAGGAAGAAGGTCAACAGATTGTTGTCTTACAACAATAGAAAGGCATTTACCATGGTTCTGGGACTGATTGTCACGCAACAGCTGAGTGGTAACTTCACCACAATGCAGTACTTATCGAAGTTTTTCGACGCTGCCAATATTGGAATTCATTCGGATTATGCTACTATCATTGTCTTTGCTGTTGGACTTGTCTCTGGGACAGTTTCTACTATGACTGTTGAGAAGGCTGGGAGGAGACCTCTTCTCATTTTGTCTGCGTTATTCTGCTCGGTTACTTTGGGCATTCTGGCTGTTTATCTTCTACTTAATTCAAAGAAAATCGACTTGACTGCTGTTAATCTATTACCTGTTATCCTTGTGATACTGTTCGTTGTCGCTTATCAGGTTGGAATTGGGACACTGCCCAATGCCCTTATCGGTGAATTATTCCCAACGTCGGCCAAGAGCGTTGCCGGCGCTGCCATTACGATTTCAGATGGAGTTCTGGGATTTGTTGTCTCCAAGCTGTATCAGATTGTTGGTGATGCTTTTGGAGAGCATTATGTTTATTTCTTTTTCGGGGGATTTTGCTTTGTCGCATTTGTCTTCATTCTGTATTATATACCGGAAACGAAGAATAAGAGCTTCGGGGAGATTCAGGAGGAGCTAGCCAGCACTTGTGTTAAATTTTCGGTGAACAAATGTTTGCGGTCTTGGGAGAAAGACCGCCGGACTCGGGGGGGACAGAGTGACGATCGCATTGTGTGACGTTGGGGTTCTAAGATACTTAATTGGGGATGCCTGACTTCAAAGTGTTTTGATATTTCACAGAAATCGAAGAAGAAGTTTCAGTGAAGCCTTGAGATTAAGCCTTCTAGAGGAGATCTTTTAGTCACTTCGTCTTCCTGCGGTGTGATTAGGGGGTTTTTTCTACCGAGTGGTGAGAACAGATAAGTTTAAAGCTTTTATAAGCCTCGGGAACTATTGGAGATGTTCTGAGGCGCAAGAACTTTTGGAGATAGCGAGTGTTGTTGTGTTGAAAATCGCATTTTTTGTTTGTTGTTTAATGGAAAAGTAAAAATGACTTGGCTGCTATCACCACTATTTTCTGAATATGGATAGGTGTCCCTTGACAATGGGAATAGACAATATTCCAACTGTTTTTTGTAAATAAAACTGACAATTTTTGTAAAGTAAAGAACCTAGAGCTCAAGGAAAAGTTGTATTCAATTTCAAACCTTTTTCTCTCGTCAATTAATTGGAAATGTTCGATAGAACTGTGGAAAGGGCCGGGGTTGGACCCAGTGAGCCATAAAACGAGTAAAAGAGATGTTTCCAAAAAGAGTATTAAAAATAAATAACGAGGGGAAAGGGTTTTCTGGAAAAAACATAAACATGGAACATTTCCGGGGTGAGGCTGGGAGTTGAGAGTAGATACAGAATAGCATGGGTTTTGCTCGTTTCTGGGATTAAAAAGTTTTAGGGGTGACAGTGTGCGGAGGGGAGGGGCGTCGAAACGGTACGATCGACGAATCTAATGGACGAGAAAGTTTGAAAAACAGGGGAAAAATACCGCGGAAGAGTGGAAGGAAGAGAAAATAAAAATGAGAGGAGTCGAGGTAAAAACAATGGGTGCTGGATATAGTCAGTTCCATAATTCGATTCGATCGTCCGGATGAATTAATGGAATTTCAGGGGAAATTCAACAGTTTTCTACCACCGATTTTTATGAAAATGTATTGACCTCAACTCCTCTGATTTTGACATGTTAATCCTGAAGTTTCAGATTTCCATTGATTTTCATGGAATAATTGAACTGAATAAATATCTCGGAATGACTTTTCCACAAAATTTTAAATTTTAAAAACAAAATTGCTTAAAATTCCGGCGAAAGTTGTTTTGGGGAGTTTTTCCACTTTGTTTATTGCTCTCAGATTTCCCTCAATCTCGTATTTTTCAACTTACTCTTAAAAAAAAGAACAAATGTAAACAAAAGTCTTGCTGACGGTAGAATGAACAATTCAGTTCAGTTTGAACGTAAAAAAGAACTGAAAAATAAAGATAAAAAAGAGAGCTGTTATAGCGGACGAGAGCGCCATCGGTTTCACTACACAGCGATATCGGCTTTTGATTGTCGAAAGGGACAAAAGTTGTAGGAGTGGATGCTGTCGGAGGCACCAAACAGTCCCCAGGTCGATGGGGCTAAGCGAATCAGAGGCAAAACAGGTGAAAAAAATCTCACGTGCAGGACAACGTGTGGGGAGGACGAGAGAGAGAAAAAAACCAAAAAATCTATTAATCGCGGAGCAGAATAAAGACATCGGGGGGAGGAGGAAGAGGAGGATGAATGAGTGAATGGTGGAGTTGAGGATGGAAAAACTGTTCGTTCGTTAACAGAATGAAGGGAAAAAAAATAGAATGAAAAAAGGAAGATGGAATACTCGAGGAAAATCAGCCTCGTTCGTTACGGGAGGGAAGAGGTGTACGTGGGATAGAGGGTAGGGGGTTAGATTGGAGTTTTCATCTATAGCAGTGGAACGGGGGTTGTATAGACTGTGAAGTCCGCACAATCGAGAACAAAAGCCTTCAGGGGTTACGTCGCTTGGCTGTCGACGTTCAACGGAGCACCGGAAGGAAAAGCGAATCGAAAAAGAGAGGATTGAAGAAGGGGAGGGAAAACAAGGGTGTTTCCAATAAACAAAAGCACTCTCGGTTTCAAGGGCTCTCGGTGACGTGGAGGGAAGTAGGCGCGAGGGGTTACGCAGTTGTTTCCGGTGGGAACGGATTAATAGTGTACAATGTAACTCTCATTGGGTTTTTTTATTTTGTTGAAAAATTTATTTTTCAATTATTAAGGTGATTATTCATTTTTAGAGGAAATTTCGGAGAATTTTTTTGGGAGAGCTTTTGGGGATGAATGGAGGTCTTATGGAGTTTTTTTCTACAAGACACTTTCTCCTTTTCATTTATTTTTAATACTCGTTTTTTTTTTCAATTTTATTGATTCTAAAATTATTGTGGTAATTATTTATTTTTAGAGAAAATTTTGAAAACGTATTTTTTGGGAGACATTTTGGGGATGAGGTGAGGTGTTATGGAGTTTTTTCTAGAAAACACTTTCTCCTTTTCATTTATTTTTAATACTCGTTTTTTTTTCAATTTTATGGATTTTAAAATTATCGTGGTAATTATTTATTTTTAGAGAAAATTTTGAAGACGTATTTTTTGGGAGAAATTTTGGGGATGAGTGGAGGTCTTGTAAAGTTCATGTAGGGTCAGGTGCTTCAAGCATTTTTCTTGTGAATCGATCATTCAAAAAATCAATTTCACGTAAAAATTATTTAAACGGATGACGAAGTGGTTTCAATGATGAATTTCCCTTCGATAAATCCCTCATAATTTATCCAACGAATAAATCACTATTTGTGTGCGACTTCACAGTCACTTGAGGCAAGAATGAAGTGAGACGTATCGTTGGCTGACGCGTCTTAAATTGAGACATCACACCCACACTACTGACAGTGGCTCGTGGAGATACCCAGAAGGATTGAGAATGTCGGTTGCCTCAGTGCCTGTGCAATTCGTGTCAGTAGGATCCTAGAGGGGGCTGAGAAATTTTGAGATGCCTGGACTGTTGTATACAACGGTGTGCTGTGCATATGGCTGGTTAAACCGTACCTCCGAATATCTCCAGGGTTGCTTTGTACAGGGTCGAGGAATTACACATTGTTCACAATGCACGGTGCATTCCAATCATTGTTGGCTATGCTACTGTCGTCAAATATTCAAGAAGATGGATATTTGAGAGAAAAGTTTCAGAAAATTGTGAACTATTACTATTGACGAATTAATGCATCTTAATTTTTTTTATTATAGAAAAACTTTTTTGCAGAGATGCAATGGGAGAATTTTTTTTAATTTAAGGGGTAATTGCATTAGAATTTTAAATGTTGTGAATTTGAACTCAATTTCAATTCAACAAAATTAATTTTTTTTTATGGGATAATTAACATACAAATGACTCATTTTTAAAATTGAACTTGATAATTTATTGTTTTTTTAATACGTTAAAAAATACATCAGCTGATCTTTCTCAATAAATGAAATAATATAAAGCTTTAATAATATTGAAGCTTCAAAAGTTCCCTGAATTTTCACAATTTTCAATAATTTTTGTTGTCGTATGGATCAACTGGAATTGCATTTTTTATTGAATTTCATGTAAATTCGTCGTTTTTAAAAATTTCCTAATTTTTTTACTTGGAATTTCAGTAGTATTTTCTAGCAGTGTGAAAGAGTAAAACAAAAGTCAATAAATTATCCGTAAATAAATTAAAGTTTACGTGCCAGCAAAATTATTCGCAGTAATTAAAAAACAGTTAGTGACTGATCAGCTTAGTTCGGTTGTTCGAATAGAATTTTAATGGTATTTCAGTGAAATCGATCAGTTCTCTGTCAAAGGACATGTCCCGTGGTGGGTCCTCGTTATTGAGACGATGAATAATGCAAGTTGTGCGGTGAGATCTCTGTAGCAGGGGCTTACGTCAACGTCGTAATTTAGCTTGCTGAAACGCGTCTGATTATTGACTACCCAATAATGCAAATTCTCGATTTTCTATCAACAATGCACTCAAGGGTATTCGTAAATTCGAATTGGAATGGAGACTCATTAGGATATTTCAATGGTTTACATCTGCGGGAGAGTGGAGAAATAAAATTTTCACGCTTTTCTTTCATGTTTCGAGGGCGCGCAGTGTACCTGCTCTAGTGAATCTCGTTATAACTATCGTTTCTTTCAAAATCTCCTCAGGGCATTTTTCGCATTATACCGTTTCATACATCTATTTATTATGTGGAACGTGTGAGGTGCAACGAGGCCATGAAAAATAAAAAAACACACCCTGGGGAGTGAGCATCTAAACTAGGGGAAGTGGAGTGGAACGGTAAAGCACTGGTGAAATTATGTAGAACAGCGCAGGCATTTTTTTTACGTGAAAAAATGGAAAATAATTTTTCAGTTTTTTTTCAGGATTTGAATTCAGTCGTGGAGTTATTATTATGTTGCTAATGTCTTTGAGACTAGTGGGTTTGGCGTAAAATGTATCAAAATATTCTAATATTTTTAATGATTTTTATTTTAATGATATATTTTAATAATGCAATATGCAATATATTTTGCAATAATGCAAAATATGTAAAGCACTTTTACATATTTTGATATTGACAAAATTATTTATCTGAAATTCCACTTCTATTTCCCCGCAAAACTGAATAATTTCCTCTCCATCTGATTAATTCCGTTTCAACTCATCTCGTTCTCCGAATATAATTAATAGTAATAGTACCTGCGTTTGACGACAGCCGCGAAACGTAACACAGAGAACAGGTAGTCTAGGCGTAACGTATTGTATCCACATAAACTAGGGGAAGTGGAATGGAACGGTAAAGCACTGCTGTAATTATATGTGCACAGGCATTTTTTTACGTGAAAAAATTAAAACTAATTTTGCATTTTTTAAAAAATTTTCATTCATTCCCGAAGTTATTATTATGTCGCTGTTAAACCAGTGGGTTTAGCGTAAAATATGTGAAAACATTTTTTGAAGCTCGTGAAAGTCTGCATAAAGACGGTCTTATAGCATTTTTATCTACACTCAATACTTTTTAAGATATTAACAAAATTCTTTATCTGCACTGATAGAAAAGATTAGTTATTGTTAAGGAATGGATTTGGTTTGAAGCTAGGGTCTACTTCGTCTCACCACATGTTCATTCGTTAACTATTAACGAATATTTATTTGGTCATATTAACTCTGTTAATAGTTAACGAATCTCGTTTGGAATAAATTAATCATTCTATCAGTGTGAAAGTGCACTTCTACGTCGCCTCAAAACTGAATAATTTCCTCTCCATCTGATCAATTCAGTTTCAACTCATCTCGTTCTCCGAATATAATTAATAGTAATAGTATCTGCGTTTGACGACAGCCGCGCATTCTGAACGCATTTGAAGTGGAATACAGAGTGAAACATAACACAGTGAACGGGTAACGTCTAGGCGTAACGTATTGTATCTACACAGTTTGTGTATTTGC